GTGTTCAATCAACAATATTATAACTACAACATATACGGATCTTACATGTTGGAAGTAAAAAAACACATGGTATTAAAGGCTTTAAACTATGCATTTCCATGGGTTGTATTCGCTTCTTCTGTTCCTTGCGAAACTATTTTTTTGCTTTTACTTTGTCTCTGCATTCCTTACACGTTTTGCAAAATATATCTTCCATTTTACGTCTATCATACATTTTGCTTGGTGTTGCTTCATCGCATTTACTGCAATGATTAACCCTTGTGTATCCTGTTTCTTCTTCGTCATCTGCGGAACTCATAATATTATGTATGCTAATATTTCTTGAAATGCCTTTCAATGAACGACATTTCATAGAATGATATGATCATGAATAAACTCCTGTGACCTCGGAGTAAATGAAGATTTATGAATAAGTCTGCGTTTCCTCGTCATAATCCACCTTGCAAAAATCTAAAGTTGACTTCTTAGGTTCTTTGGTTGACCCACCATTAAGTGTATTTAGATAGACAGTTTCTTACTTTTATATTCAGTGCTGTTTTTGTCAATGAATTTTGAAGCTGGTTTCTTTTCCATTGCATTTAGGATGTCTAATATGCTCTTATTTTGTAACATCACCATATCCAATTTATCAAACAAGGCGTTCAAATCTTTGTCCATGAGAAAGAAAAAAAACAAAAAAAACTATACTTTTTGTTTCGTACGTTATCATAATGTCACATTTCATATTTCATATGTCATTGTAACACAATTTATATACATCAATAGATTCAATAACACTATTTATAATACCTTGCATTTTAAATAGTAATACAAATAGTTGTATTATGTTATCGTTCTATTAAAACTAACATTTACGAAATGTCTGCTTGTTTCTATTGTCATATCTCCGTCTTTCTTCTTTGATAAGCTCATTTCTTGGTCTTTCTTCTTGACTGAAAACATACACGGCGTACATTTAAAAATAATACCACCTTTCTTATATACTATTAATTAATCTTGAAAGTTCATATTATGATTACATGTATCACAATTGAATTCTTTACTTACACCTATGGTTTTCACGCTTTCTGTTGTTTCTTTCCGTTCTTGAATTTCCGGCCTTGGTCTCTCATCATCAGATATTAATTGTGATTTACTCTTTCTCTATCTTGGCCTTTTTATTAATATTTACATTTATATTTGTGATATATTGTTTTCCGGTGTTAATTAGTTCTAATGAATAATAACAGCTTGTTTGTATTTTTTTTTATCAGTTTTTATTTCTTGCTCTACTTTCTCAACTTCATTTACTATATCAATATAATCTGAATAACTTCTAAATATATAAATAATAAGAACACATATGAACAAATCTTATTGTTTAGAATACTGGGGGGTTCAGCCATTGTGTCTTCAATGGGTGACGGGGTTCCCAAACTAAGACATTCATTTTTATGACATTCACCACCAGCATAAAAAAATATTTATTTATTTAAAAAAAAAAAAAAAAACGATGGTACATTCAATATTAACTGTTAAAGTATTTCCGGAAATCCTTAATAGTTTGTGTCAAATAAAACACCATCAGTAAAACCTATTGATGACATACAGTTACATTATTAGTTTAACCAATCAAAATATGATGTAGCACCCAAAGTTCAATTTCGTGCCTTAAGTACAGGTCCGAGTGGATGCAGCAAATCAAATCTACTACTCAATTTCATTTTAGACATCTACCGCGGTGTTTTGTCTCGTATATACATCTCGTCACCTTCAATTAACGTTGATAGTAGTTGGTTGCCAGTAAAGTAATATATCAGGGAAGTAATGAATGTAGATACAGAAAAAGAACCGTGTTTCTTTGAAGAGTTCAAGAGAATGGCTGGCGGTAATCATGTTCTGGAACAGAAGAGGTTCCGACAGTCAAGTCCTTTCTCCAACATACCATAAAATTGCTGGACCCTTTGGAGCACAAGCTAAATGATCCAGGCAGCGACGTGGGATGTGTCTGCGTGTTGCCCCAAGCCTACCGTCATCCTGGGACCAAAAGGCGTGGCTGGTTTCCAGAATTACAAGACAAAAGTAGATGCCACCATTCCCTTTACGTGGGCGAGTCAGGGAGATGTCTTGACCAATTGTGCAACTCCAGCCGTAATCCGCATTGTTTGGTTCATACACCTGTTTTTAGGGCCTTCACACCACAGGTTCAGAAATGGGCGCATGAGATGAAGCTTCGACCGCGATTGCGTTTATTTCGACACATCGCCAACAGGCCGGTCCGCTGTTCTCTCCTAGGCGTGCACGCCCACAATACTGGCTAAAGGCTCGTTCTCACAAGCTGCAACGAAACTCGAAATGCCTAGCCTGAATCAAGTTTGGTAGATTGCCAGCATTTGTAGCGTAGCATTTGTATCATGGAAGCAAGCAGCTGCGCGCAAGAAATGACTTTAGCTGCAGCACGGGTGGTTAGTCGTCGCAGGATTAGGCTACCAACAAACACTGCAGCCACTTTTGTGAGAACATCAGCTTCCCACTTCCCACCATTTGGTTGTTTGGATTGATGGTTTGGTTGTTTGTTTTGGAGTGGTTTCCCAGCCTCAAGGATCAGAGCTCCACCATTCCAAACCAACTAAGGCAACCTGAAACATACTTGTAGAAAAGAACAACTCGTCTGCTGGCAAATCACTTAAGAAACGTCCTCATCATGTTGCAGGCGCCGCTCAGAATGCTCTGGGCAGGCTGTGTCTTAGCGTCAAATCGAGCATGGCGATTGAGACGGGAGCACGACTTTCATACAAAGTTGGAAGCAAAGTCTGCGTGACTGTTGTTTTACGGCAAAGCGAGCGGAACCGTCCAAGGTTTAGATTCGCCATGTGAGCCTACTAAAACGCAAGCGGCGCAAGACCACCTTCCAATCGTACACTTCAGGTGTCAGGTGGCTACCATCACAAGCAAAACAGAACATTTCTCCTTGTCTGGATGTGTGTCAAAGCCAGGACGCTCTGCGGGTCTCGGCTGACACCGTAGGGTTTTGTGGTGAGAATCTTTCAAGCAACCATATCTACAGGACTCTTCATCATGGGGCCTGCAATCCAATATCAAATCAAATCTCCTAGATTTGCGCAAAACAACTCGGACATGACCCAGCAGCGGGCCGGCCTGCTCCCCTTGGCCATTGCAGACCGGGCAGACAAACTGCGGCGGTTCGCGGTTTGTGAAGTTGGGCACGTCGACACATGGAAGGAACCATAATCCCCCAAAGCACCTCACATCTCCTCAATCAGCGATCAATCTCCCGAACTCCGAGAACAAACATTTAAGGGCCCGAAGCTGAAGCAAGTCCTTTGCTGGTCCTAGCTGTGCTGGGGGGTCTCTGCTCTTTGATGAGAGCAACGGCAGCAATGTCACGATCTCTTTAAAAGGGGCCAATACTGTTGATAAATGGCAACCCGCTCTTGTTTGCAAGCGGTGTGTTTTCGGCGGGCCTTGTTACTTCTTCCTGCTGCGCAGGCACCAGTGCCATCGCAGTTGTGGCATTCTACGCGTCGAGCTTTGACCTCAGTGTAGCTCAGAGCAGCCTGTGCAAGCACATAGGCACACAAACAACCTCTGAAGCTTGGGCAAGCCCAAATAGGAATGTAGACTCCTTGTGTGCGAGGTGTCAGCAGACATGAGATGAGGCTCTAAGCAACGCAATCGACTGGTCCGGATTTGTTTTGAGCGCCAGAGCCAAAGACTTGAGTCTATAGCCTTCTGCTGAAAACTAGGGATTGGAGCTCTTTCAGGGCTGCTTCACCCTCCAAATCCGCCCAACCCTCTGCTTTCTGTTCCGCGAATCCAGTGGGCAAAAGAGAGAAAAGCCGTGCAACCGTTTGAAAAGCACACGTCACCAGCCGATACCCTCAAGGGTGGCATCTCGGAGATGGCAGCTTCAGGCTTCTCACGTTTTGTTTTCTTGTGTTGAACTAAGTGCGCTGACCCAACCCCAAATCCGCCGACATTGCGCTGCTTAAGAGAGGATAAAGGATAACCCAAAGGTTGACATGACAGGAAAAGAAGGCGAAATGAAAGGGAAACGAAGGGGAACTGAAAGGGACATGAAGGGAAAAGAAATGAAAACAGGGGGAGTGCAAGGCAAACAAAGGACAACGAAACCAAAGTACACGAAGGAAGATGTAGGGAAATGACTGGCAATGAAAGAAAGGAAAATACATGGAAATGAAGCGGACATATCGAGAAAATGACAGGGACATGAAGGGGGAATTAAAAGGAATGGCAGGGGACATGACCAGGACATCCTGAAAAAGCAAAGGACATGAAGGGGAAATCAAGGGAAGGCCAGTAGTACGAAGACAACTCAGGGGTCATGAAGGGGCAGTGCAAGGAAATCGAGGCAACTCCGGGGGGACATGACGCTGCAATGCAAACAGAGAGAGAGAGCGAGAGAGAGAAAGAGAGAGAGAGCGAGAGACAGAGACAGAGACAGAGACAGAGAAAGAGTCAGAGAAAAAGACCGAGATCGAGAAAGAGAAAGAGACAGAGCAGGAGACAGGAAAAAAGGGAGAGAGCAACGGAGAGACCTCCATAGAGGACTGACCCCCCCCGCAGGGGAAATAAAGGAGAGCCTCAAGAAGACACAGTGATATCCCAGCCGTAGCTGTTTGGTTCCGGGGATTTGCCCCCAAAAAAGAAACAGGCTTCAAGCCAAACAGCCGAAGGGTAGAAACTATCGTGCGCGGTGACTATGGAGTACCCCTTGCACTGGACTTAATATGTCGGGTTCCCTTTAAACCAGCACCAACGACAGTACTCTCAGCCAAGGACAGTACTCTCAAAAGCAAACTGGCTGACATGTCAATTTCATCCCTTGGAGGAGCTCCACAGCCCGATGCTTCAAGCGAAAGGACCTCTCACCGACGAAAAGGGAGTGAAGCCTTTTCCTGTCTCCGCTCATAAGACTACAGGTCTACGCTGCATAACCCAAACAAGCTCGAAAAACGGACACTCAATGGAAGTTTTGCCTTTCTTTCTGCAAGTCTTCGCGTCAAATCGAGTTGAGCGGTCATGCTGATGTCAACGTTTGCTGACTGCAGAACCACCCCTCGCGGCCGGCTACAAAAGTAAATAAAACCACCCCTCTGAACAGTTCGTTGCAAAACCACCCCTCTACGCAGCCCTGTTAGGACCAAATGGCCAGCAGGGACATTATACAGAATCCTAGCAAAGCTGCCAAGAAGCTTCGCCTCTTCCATTGACCTTTCCCAAGAATCAATGAAGGCATAAGCATATCGTAGACAGCGACACACAGCAAACTCCCTGCCGCAACGCAAACCAAGCCAGCAGCACGAGGGCCCTCAAAGCTTGTCGTAAGCAAAGCGCCAAGCGCAATGCCTAATGGAGTCATCGAACCAAGAAGCACCATTAATGCCCACCAGGCCCTCATTGAGACGCTGTGCAACAATAAAGATCCAGCAGAGAAGCATGCAAAAAGCTTGTGCGCGATGATAGCAACAAACATTTGGAATAAATCCGACACATCACCAGCAGCTCCAGTGGCAGCTCCATTAATAAAGGAATGCACACACAGTCCTATCAGTGCTGACAAACCTGCAGCACAAGACTTTTCAGATGGTAAAACAATGATCTCTGCGACATCCGAACCTGCTTCAGAGTCTGAATCGAAGTCCTCCTCAGAACTCTCCCTTTGATGTCTATGATAGCCGCTCGACCGACCCTCGTCATTCACTGCGCGAGACTCATCGGGCTCTCTGCCCGGCAAAAAAACTTCCACTGACAGAATTGCGAGAAAGCCGAGGCCTGCCAGTGCAAAACCCAATGGAAATGCTTCGGCAGACTTGTTGCCGGTGAAGAACTCCGCAATTTTGACTCCAGGCTGCTCCAACTCTTCAGAATTTTCGCTGAGCATGTGTACCAGGGTAACCGCGAGCAGGATTCCACCAGCTCCGGCATTGCAAACTCGGACGATCTTCGCCGAAAAGCTTGCAGCAAACAACGACAAAGCAGCGCCAGTTAAGGCTACGATAAACAAAATTCCAGCGCATAGAGCTTTGCCTCCATTCAGGTCCATTGCCTACGAACTCGACGTTTTACAGCTGACCTGATCCTTGAACCAATACTTGAACCAATAGAGGCGTGTGCATGCTGTTCAAAGAGTCAAGTAAACAAAGCGTGCTAAGATGAGAAGCTCACTGAGCCCCTTTCTCCAGAACATGAATATCATCGCAACACAGCTGACACATTTATGACAACATTACAAATTAATAGAATGCATATCTTTCTCCAGCTTCTGCCCAGCTTGGCCCTCGCTGGGCTACTCCGTTGCCATCCTTGCGATACGGGCCTTCTACTGCTGCCGCGCGCGCGTGGTTGTGATTTGCTAGAAGATGCTAGAAGCGTTCGAGGCATCTGTAGGCTTCGTGCATTGCCGCAGCCGGAGTTCTCGAGGATCCATGCAATTCTCAGGGCCTGTGGTTCGCGTTCAGTAACATTGATTCCTGAGCTGCGCCTGTATGCAAGCAAGCAACATGCTGTGTAAAAGAAAACCTTGCCGTTTAGTGGACAGGTTTTTGCAGGAGTATTCCGAGGCAACTTGGCTTCCAACAGATTGGCCTGTGCCATCGCATCCGTCGCAAGGCCTCCGAGAGAACGGCTCTGAAATGGCCGCTGCGATGAGAACCAGTTCGCATACCCAACCAATAGGTTTTCTGCTAGGCGCACATAGGACTTTCCACGAAATGGGCGGGACCGCAGTTGGGGGGGGGTTGTGCTAGCTGATACCCCCGCACGTTGGGAGAATGCAGCGTGTACCAGTACCATCTTAAAGATGGACCGAAGGCCTTCTCCTGTATGTGCTACCTAAAAGCCCACCACAAACATGCACTACACTTTGTATCCTCAACTACCACCATGAACATAATCCCATCACCTCTGCAAATCAAACAAACAATACAATACAAATATGGGGGCGGGACTTGTCAACATACACATTGACATGGACATGTCAGCCAAATAAGCAAGACAGTTCAGTCATAATCAAAATCTGGTACTAAAGGTCTACCCAGAACCACGTAAACAATTAAAGAGGCGGCTGCAGCCATTTCTGATTGTGATTGTCCCAGATTTGATTGTGGCTCAGTTGAACATGAACCATGGCGATTGCGGATCTAGCAAAACATGGAATTGACCGTTGGAGGGCTGATCTTTGACGTTGCGATCCCACATGGGATCCCTGTGTTGACACGGCTTGTTTGACAGACATGGGGAAGGAAATTGGTTGCTTGACTTGAAATGGAACTTAGCAAGAACAAAAAGACAGGAATGGATGGAACGAGCGGAAAACCACCCGAACTGGTTCGAAACCTGTCGTCCTGCCCCGCCCCCGCCTGCCGGCTGTCACTTTTGGCGGCATGGCTACACAATGTGTCGTGCGAAATGGAGTTGAATCCAAAAGACATCTTGATCGCATCGGAACTGAATCATACCTGCTGACCTGAATGATGAGGTCTGCAAAAGATTGTGCGCCGAGTTGGACAAACAGAAACATGACCGTCTGTGCCCTGCGTAGATGCATCTGCAAGTTCGGGTCTCCAGTTCTATCCAATTTACTAGTGTTCAATGCCTTGATTGCATGTCTCCCAACAGGCGCTAGAAGTGACACTGGCATCCTTGTAGCCTCTCTGGAATTATACAAGGCCCAGATTCATAAACCACCACCTCTCGCACTCAGGTGCTTGCCTTGCATGTGAAAGGCGATCTGATCATTTCTCTATTGAGGTAGAGATAAACTGCGGATATGCCAGTGACCAACCACAAGCACACTCTCCAGGTTTTGCTCATTCTATCCACCAAGCGTGTACTAAACCGCATATTGGACCCCTCAGATTACCAAACACCTCAGTCTGATTGGGGGCCGATCCAAATCGCTTTCCTTGGAAACAATCTGCAACTGCGGGAGACCTTCACGAACCCAGAGTGACCACTCCAATTCGCTCATTGCTCGCTGCAAGATGTCCATCTGCGCAATTGATTGCTTGAAAGCCAGAGGTCTTTTTGGCCAGCTCGAACGTTGCCACATTGCACACCCGAACGTTGCGACAGCGGCGCTGGCCCTGAGGACACCACGTTTTTTGCACGTGAGGGGCTTTGATTGCGGCAGGTAAACCATTGGAAAGGATATGAGGATTCTCAAACTAGGGCCCCTGGTGATGTTTGTTGGTTTTCTTGCTCGCTGTCCATTTCAAAGCAGCAACATGTCCCTTTGACACATCCCCTAGCCATCGAATGGTCCACATCCAACACAGGCGAATATGTGAGCGGGGGTGCACAACTCCTACCTCCAAGGCGAACCACATGCCTCCGCAGGAGGTGACGTGGGCCCGGCTGCCGGCTGCACTTTGAGCAACGCTGTCCACGGTTTGGGCCAAGGAGTCTTCCACATGCTACAAGACTTACTTGCCCAGTGGCGGTGGGAAAAAAGGGGCTTGCAATCTTCTTGGCTGAGCTGCAAGGCGGACCCACCATTGCCACTGGACAAATGGAAAGAGCACCTATCTACTGGCGGGATTGTTGCTGCGCGCAGCAGGCTCAGAATGTGCCGTTATTGTCGTCCCCGCTCAGCGTCAGCAGTTGACACCCCTCCTGCGCATGCCAGCAATCAAGGACCCCCACAAACAGAAGGAAAACCCCACAAACCATGGGACCCTCACGACCGCACCCAAATCGTTTTGGCTGTACAAGCCGAATAGGCAACAAAGGAGGTAGAAGGAGGCCCCGGGTGGTTTGCGAGCTGCCGGAAGCATCCGTCGGTTCCGGGCCCCACTCACTCGCTCCGTTTTGGAAGCCCAAATCGTCGTGGCTCAAGCAGGCGGCCAACAGTAGAATTGCACGTCGTCCAGACGCCAAAATGTGTCTTTGTGCTCAAAATAATTAGCCTCCCTATGGGCACTCTGAAGATGCCGGGTACAATTCCCTGATTAGATTCAAGAGGCCGCACATCCAGTGTTCCACCAGGTGAGGCCAACCCCTCGTCTTAATGAACCTCGTAACAGTCCACTGAAGAACTCAGCTTCCCTTCATTTGACCCTCAGATCCTCATATCAATCAAAACAAATAGAAGAATAGCTCTGTTCTCGTGGCTGAATGATTTCAAATGGCCCCGAATTTCAATTGAACATCCCAAAAGGCAACAATCCCCAAGAATAGGTGATTGAAATTTACATTCAGAATACCTCCTTCAGAATAGGGCCTCGTGAGACTCACCTGCGCACCTACCGTAGGCCGGCTCCCACAGCCTCACACAGCCCGAGAGAACCCAGGAGAAGCCACTCTTCCAAGGAACCTGTCTCAAAGTATTTCCGTGAATTCTTCGCATTCGCCAACTGGACACCAGGAATCCCTACAAACACCACCCTGATCACACCTCATCCACCAGCTTGTCCGACACATCCCACTGCTTCTTCATCTGCTCGTCGTCCTCGCGCTGTGCCACATCTACAAATTTACGTGTTGCCCAATTTCGAGGCAACAACCTTCTAGTCATCTAGTTCAAGGGGTCTCCGTGGTTTTGACAGAGCTCCAAACAGTCGTTGGCCGATTTGCCACCCAAAAGCGGAAACAAGATTGGGATGTTTTAAAGGAGCCAACTACGATTGACCACAATTTGAGGGCGCATCTACATGCGTTTCTGCAATCAGATAGTCTTCAGCAAGAACAACCCATGGCCGGTTCACCAGCATCAGCCGGGGTGCCACACGTGGCGCAACCAGAAATTGGAAGACGGAACCAGCCCTTCTCCTTCTCATTGTGCGCTTTTGTGCCACTTGAATACCAGCGCCATTCCATTTTCCTTGAGGATGAACAGAGCAAGGTGGACAAAAGTTGAATGAGACAAATCCAGGGAGCCCTCAGAATGGCGGGGCTCCTTGAAACATAAAACAGTTGGGGTCTTCAAGTCTCACACGTTCTTGGTCAAACTCTCGGCACGCGGCACGCGGCTCGTCTTTTTCTGGCCATGGCACATCTTGAAGTTCAACTCGGCGGATTGCAGCCTTCGGTTTTTCAGCAAGATACATTTCCTGGCCCCCTTTACAGGGAAGCCGCTTGGCCCAACCCAAGTTGTGACGGTCTGGGGCTTTCGTGGAACGCGTCTCCACTGGCTTGGTGGATGGCGTGGACGGGCAGAAACGTACTCGGAGTTCGGAGGTCGGCTCAGACCTTGGATCAAGCCACATCTCAAGCGCTGTGCCGTGGACATAGGTCAGACATCCCAATTTGTGGGAGGGATGTTGCACCACACGTAAGCAAAGCCCCTTGGCGTCGTTTCATTCTAGACCTACTGTTGCAGCCCTGACAGACAAAGGCACGGGGGCGCACGGGGGCGCGCTGCCAACGGCGCTTTTCACTGAGTGCTCGTGGTACGTCAGTGGCCAAGGATGGTGAAGGCCCAGATGGTGCTCACCAATTCCTGGCGCCGCTGTGAGCATCGGCATTGCGAGCTACGTCGTGGCTGCTCCAACGCGCGGACACAAAGAGGGTCCTTTTAGGGCCCAAAAGCATCCGAATGCGAACACTAGAATTGTGTAGGGCTTGCCGAGACGAAAACCGGCCCCAATTGTGGCTCAGACAATTGGAGTCAAGATCAGTCTTTGTGTGGGATAGGCAACCTTCTCTCCCCAGTTTCCATTAAGAACACGCCAGCAGAACAACCCATCATGTTACTGCATTGTTCACTTTAAACCAATAAGGAGTGATTCCTCATTCACAAAGCTGATTAGTCCGGTTTCCGAAGTAGTATTCAGACTGGCTCCTCTTTAGTTCATTCTGACCACCCCTCCCGCCACTTGTCACACTCAAACAAACCCAGTACTTGCCCGGATTGGTTTTGTTTTCTGGAGCCACAAAGTTGAGTGGCTTCCCTTTGGCTCCAAAAACCATCCAATGGCGTTCATATATCTTGGTCACTGGGCGCTGCTCTTTTGTCGTCCCCAATCTGAGTTGATGTTTGCCACGAAATGGGAGAAGTGACCCATGGTCATTTGGGGGCCGAACGGAATATAGACCACCCCCCAAATACACAATTATTATTCATGTTCTGTGGTCGTCCCAGTGCAATTTGCCATAAGTCCTGGGTGGTGAACTGCGGGGCTTTCTGCTGGGCGCTCTTTGTCAAGGCATGTGTCAGGGGGTGCTGTCGCGGATGTGGCATGTCCACCGCCAGTGCCCAGGAGAGGCAGGCCACCTGACGCAGCGGAGGGTCCTGGTAAAAGTGGCCTCGACCATCTGTGACTTTGTTTTACCCCCGCGTGACCTCATGGAACTGGGTTCAGACTCATTTCTTTCTTTACATACAGCGGTTCCTCGCCATTCATCACTGCTTGCTCCTGCTCAAGTCAATGCCTACAGCACGCTCAGCAATGGGAGCCGCATATTTAAAGAGGTACTTGAGGGAATCCTTCAGGTTTGAGGAAACTACACACCATCACACACTTGTCCTTTCATCGAGCTCATGGGTTGATTAATTCAGCATGCGCAGGGCCGGAGTTCCCCCATTGCCACACCAAGAAGGACCGCCAAAGCAGCCCTGCCTCGCGCGGTCCGAACTCGTCCATTTTAGTCTGTGCCACATCGGCCAGTGGCTCCAGAAGCGAAGACCTCGAGCGGACGAGAAGCTGGAAGGACCCTATGAGCCTGTGATTCTAATAGTGGAGCCCCCCCGCACGCTCAAGTATAAATATACCCAAGAGATGGCATGCAAAGGTTCCCAAATTTCCCGTTAAACAACAAATGAGTCCCCCTTTGAGCACCCCTCGTAAATGTAGGGAATGGTTGGCGGGCTTGTTCTCATATTCCATACAAAGAACAACCCTAGTTAAGGGTTGGAGGGGGTCCATAAAAATCCATCACGGGGGTCAGGCAAGCCCTGATAGGCAGCTAGGCCGTGACAACCACACAGATCCAACCGCCTGTGGATTACATGAGGCAGCGGATGGCCACCTTTCGCCTTCCGCCCCGCTTCGGTTTGGGACAGTTGGCCCCAATAGATCGATCGGGCGGTTTGCACCTGATCCCCGAGGTCCAGTCCAGTTGTGGCAAACTCCTGGCAAAGGTCAGGACTTGTTCAAACAAACCTCCGGCTTTTCAACTCAAAGCCTCTTTTCCTGGCTGGTGCGATAGGCAGGGAATGACCGAGACCGGGAGTTGGGAATTCCCGAATGAAGGAACCAACTCGGGCATGGTTTTGCTCGGGATCACTCCAACTCATTCCAGGACACCGAATCGGGGAAATGGATGGTTTATAGGGTGATCCAGGGTGTTGGGAATGAATCGGATTTGGGGATCTCGAATAAAGGAAACCAAGTCTCATTCCAGGAAACGTCGGGGAAATGGATGGTTTTTCTCGAGGTCATTTCTCATTCCCTGCATCTCTCGCACCAAGTTTCGGACTGGACTCGGGACGCTGGCAGGGCGGCAACAGCCACGGCCCAGCACACCGCCGCCAGCTCCGCGGCAGCCAGTTCCCTCGGAGGAACCCCGTTCCGTACGGAAAGGTCCGTGACAAATCGTCACGGGACCTTTACAATCACATACAATCACATTTTGAGGGCGTCCCACATTTCGAGCCCCTTTCGACCTTTTTCAAAAGGAACTGGGGGAACCCCAGCCTGGAGCGCTCTGCCACGCAGAACTTGGCCAGTTCTTTCGCCAGGTCACCGGCTTGGCCTGAAATCGGCGGGTTTGAAACCTGGTTGGATTGGTGCGCAGGGAATGACCCCCACACAAACCATCCAACTGGTGGGGGTTCCTTTAAGAAAAGGGAATCCCCAGGTTCAGTTGCTGCTGTGAAATCGGCAGGCAGAGAATGAGAAATGGAAGGCCCCGAGATAAACCATCCATTGTTGGTGGTTTCCTTGAAGGGAATCCTCGAATCTGGGTCATTCCAACATTCCCTACTGAGCACTATAGCAAGTTGTTTTCCCTGCTGGTCACAAATCCTTCTGGTGGGATTCATGGCTGGTTTCACATATCCGTATGGCCATGCAGAAAAAGAGCCTTTAAGGCATGGACCGGTATCAATGGGTATCTTCGGTTGTTCTGCTTTGTTCACAGTCAAGGCTTGCGGCCCCAAAATAAGTCAAAATGCATCTCAAGTCCTCAGGGCACTTGCCATTGCTAGCAATGTGTTTGACACACAGTCCATTTTGGAGTTCAAGAAATAATCCGTTCTAACGGGGTTCCTAAAGGTGCCGCCAAGAAAACAGCGTTTACAGTCCTGATCACTTCCACTCAAAACAAATTAAAGAGTCACAATTTGACGAACCAAAGAGAAGCCAAAGGCCAACACACCCCACAGCCCACCAGGGCCCCGGGGCCTGACCAGCAAGAGGCCAACGCCCAAATCACGTTGGCCAGCTCCTGCGCAGAAATTTCCCATGGCCAACATGTCTACTAAATTGGTCTTCCCCAAGCCAAAAGAAGCCCTGAAGCTTGAGAAGTGAGGTCCGTTGATGGTTGGGCAGGCTGTTGACATACGGAGAACTGCGCGTAAACAAAAAGGGGTGCCACCGGACATCCGGACTTGAAAAAGAAAACAACAACCAAAGGGGTACAAACAGCACTTATTTAAAACTCTCGTCATGAATGCAAGCAACCTCGGCATTTGCGGAGGTTGCGCCGTCATGCGTTCTGAGGCTCTATAGCATTAGCTAAGCAGCGGCTTGTCACTTTTTTTGGTGGCCTCAGGGCTGATGGCCAGCACCCTGATAGGCTGCCTGGCGCTCAACCAGCGACTGACCAAAGACGTAGTCCGGACCATTCATAGAAACCAACCGGGAAGCTTCGGTGAACACACCGCCAAAACAACGAAGAACGCAAGACACGCGCAGACAAGGAACACCGACGTGCCGCGGCCGGAGAGTGGCCGTCCTGGGGGTTGAAGCCTTGAGGCCTGGTGAGCGCCCGCGCGGAGCTCAGCTCTCCCATCAGCTCCGCCTGACGAAGCCAAGCCATGGGTTGGGACCCTTTGGTGGACCTCATGTAGGTGGGGACTTCCACCAGCTGAAGGGGGTCCCTGATAGAATCCTGTGCTGACACGAAAGGGGGTAGCCAGGCCCAAACCAGGCTCAAGGGGCTGCGGTTGAAGGGCTTCACAAGGTTCCAACTTGTAACTTGTAGACCTCAGACTACCGCACGGGACGTCAGGTACAATTGGAACCTTGCGCTGGTCTGGGTTTGAAGGGCCATTTTCCTACGTTTGCGAACAACTAAAAGGATCAATGCCTGGGGAAGAACGGAACCTACCCTGGATGCGCAAGTAACCCTCCAGGAGACCTTTCTTTTTTGCAAGCCCAAAAGGGGCGGGAGAACCTGCTGCTTTCGGGGCAATTCTCCCCGCAATCGAAGGTAGATTTCAGAGAAGCCCAGCGACATGGATGCGCAAGGGGCGGGGGAACATGATAGGCGGGGAAGAGGAGTGTTTTATGATGAGGCACAGGGAAGACGCGGGTGGAGCGCACGCTGGGACCAGTGCAAGATGTGGCTGGCTGGGTCGCCGAGTGGGGAAGGGGGGTGTTGGCACGGAATGACGGGGAGCATACTTATTTGGCTGAAGGCTCTGGGCCCAAGGTGGGGAAGCCGAAGATGTGGGAGGATGTGAGCTGGGTCGCCGGTGGGGAAGGCTGCCGGCCCTGCCCGGAACTCCCCAGAACTCGGCCCAGGCCTGGCGGGGCAGATGGGTGTCGAGCACTGCCATGGCCCAAAGCCCGTTGCTCACGTCCTGGTGGCCCAGCCCCTGCACGCAAAGCGCGAGCGATCGAGATCGGGGGGGGGAAAACTCGCCCGTGGACGAGGCCGGAAATCACCAAGGGAGGGCAAAGGCCCCCCCACAAAAGGACACCCAAAGGTGCCATCTGAACTTTTCTGGGCGAATAGTTCTGAAAAAAACAGCCGGCAGGTCGGTTTGAGCACAACAGAGGTCCTGGTCCATTCAGAACGCACAAGATCATGCGGCATGGGCAAGGGCCCACCTTCTGCACCCCAAACCCATCGATGGACACTGATACGGAGCACTTGCTCCGAGGATCAACAAATATCATAAAGTTGTATTGTGTGAGGGCATTTCTTTTGCTAAAACAGAACAATGGGCCGGGGAGCAAAGAGGATTTTTGCTGGAAACATAGAAATACATGGTACTAGTAGTGTCTAACTCCCTGCCCAGTGACCATTGGAACAAAAGCAACACCCCGTGCTTTGGGCTAATCTGAGAGGGAACGTAGCTAGCAGGAAGCGAGCTAGGTTGGAATAGGTTGGACAACTATGCACTCGGAGGGGCAGCTTAAGTTGAATAGTTCGTGGGTTTACCGGTTGCTCCCCTTCGAACACCATCCAAAAACGACGCGCGTCTCCATTTTCAGAGAGGGGTCTGCCCATAAGCATCTACTATAAGGGCTAAACAGTTGCAAGTAAGCATAACTAAATGTGTTGCAAACATAACTACATGTGTTGTAAAGTGCACCACAGCCCCATTTTATTTGTTTAGGCCCATACATCAAGCCTTATATTGCCAAGCAGGTCGTTGACAACCCCTCCAGTGGGTCCTTCGCGCCTCGTCCATGGCGCATGCAGCCAGCTGGGTGCTCACCTGGCTCACGATCCAAGTGCCGAGGAAAGCAATGCTTTTGTTTTGTGGCAAAAACAACAGGCCAACAACAAAAACATACACACACACACACAGAAACAAAAACTGAAGCTTCCAAAACAAAATGAACAAGTAAGCACTCTTGTTCAACATGCCAAGGGGCACCAGCTGTTTGTTGTGGGGGGCCTAGTTCGAGCAAGGGTAAACGGTCCCAAAAGCACGCACCTCCCTATCATCCAAACATCCACTGCGATAGTTTGGAGGTTGCGATTTGATGAAAGCAGAGCAAAGGTAGACCAACTTGAGACCCAAATCAGAAAGATCCAAAAGGCAAAGCCACGGCTGTCCCTCGTAGGAAACTCCTTTGCAGTTGGGTTGCCTGGTCGATTGGAAGCATGCCATTGCTACCATTGTGAAGAAACCCTGCAACTTACAACGGTTTCGCCCCCCGCCCCATTGCCATACATAAGTCCACATGAGCGGGGCCCTCCAAAGTGGAGGTTGCGTGAACACGTCCGACTGGCCGACATCTCGCCTCCGCCACCAAGCCAGGCCTGGCCCCAGTGGCCACGCCACGCAACCGCGCCAGCGCCCAGAGTGTGTTCCTAAATGTCTCGAATTGCGGGAACCTAAAATGAAAGACTTCTCCTGGGTTTCCAATGGCCATGAATAGGTCTGTCTCAAAATGGTTTCACCACCCTTGGGATGGTTTGAACGAAGACTAAGGTGAGCCAACGAAGAACTCGGGCGAGTCTCAAAACAGAGAACTCTAGGTGGATGGTTCGGAAGGGAAACCTCAAGCAAGCCCAAATGCCACCTCATTTGGATTCACTAAAACCACGGCTTTCTTTTGCGCTGGGCCCTGGAGATCTGGAAACTTGGGGGAGATCCATCCGTTCATCGTACTGGTCCTTAGGGCGTAGCTTGAGATATAACACAAACAAAAAACGAACCAGCGAATTTATCCATATGCCTGGACCTTCAAACTGCGGGAAATTTCTGGGTTTTTTAGGAGACGCCCACGATTTTCCGAATTCCACTGGTTTAGCTACAATTTGGGCCAAAACGCATACGCATTGAGTCGTTTCCAGGCCATGCAAAGTAACTCGTAGCACTTGCCAACGTGCCAGTGAGCACTACGTGATGCCTTGATCATCAAAACTACAACTTTTTCTGATTTGCGGGAGTTTGCGGATTTTGCGGGAGATCTGCGGAAATGTGCGGACGTTTTTCAGTCAAAATGGGAACGTTTTTCTGCACCGCACAACTTTGGACCTCGGTTGCATGTTCTGACAAACTTGCGCGCTGCATTGAGCCGGGTACCCCTGCAAAGCTTCCTTGGCCGCGAGCATGGCAATAGTGTGTTTTTTTAGGAGTTGTTGGAGTTTCAGGTTTTTGCGGCAAAAAGGGCTACAATTTCCCAAATATCCAGTCAAAGGCGGAAACCATTTTTGCAGGAGGACGAAGGTCCAGGTATATGTTAAGATACTGGCCTGCTCCAACATAGCGCCTTGGAGTGCTTGAAGCGGAAATCTTCAAAGCAAATGCGAGTCGAATGCCAAATTTCGCTTCGACTCGAAGGCCTCCAGGTGCTGCTTTTCTTTTTGCTACTTTTGCAAAGGATCCCGCTGGAGGCAACTTTTAAGGTGCTGGCCTTTTAAGAGGGAGGCATGGAACCCCAATTTGGAGAAAATATCATATCTGTCAACAAGGTGAACATGATTCTCCCGTGTAAGCAAAGCCTAAATTCATACTGACTGTGAGCAAAGAGAGGTCAGGTTCCCTCGTGGTGAAATGACGGCCTACCAGAGCTGTACATTCCCACAGCAGTTTCCATGACTGTTGTCGTCGCATGGATCACAGGTTCCCTTCGCATCGACCGTGGCTTTGGCAGGAAGTCACGGAGCCTTCCCAAAACCAGAGGCAAGTTGGTGAGCACTCCCATGAGTGACCATTTGAGTTTGTGTACGCTATGCCATCCCCTGTGCAACAGTAGATGACGGCGATAATGATCATGATGACGTCAACACCAGTCTTCTCGGTTGCAGTTGGGATTTATGCAAAGCTTGCAGTCCAAGCGTCGCCATCTGCCGGCCATCAAGACGTCCTTCCCGGGTGCAAGAACTCCAACAGATCTAAATCCCCTGATTTCGATGGGTTTGTGTGACCATTTATTCTGCTTCCAGCCACTACACAAAGACAACAGAAAGAAGGTTGGAGCATCAAAGACTTTGGCGTTGAATGAATCAAACAGCTGCAGGGCGCTATCCTTTCATGTTGGGTCCCCGAAGAAATCAAACAAAAACACAACTGAAAGGCAATCAATGAGCCTGCGATTTGCGCCGCCCTTGAGATGCGTCAAACAACTCCGCCAGTACTGAAGCGGGTGCCTCTATGTAAATGCTTTGGCTACGAGGAGTGTGTTTTGGACAGTCGTCACGGAGGGCCAGCTTGGACTGAGTCTCCAATGGCTGCGAGCAAAAAAAGAGAGTCACGAAGCCCGAAGTTTGGATGTTCAGAAAAACATCCCCAACTAAATAAGGAGCGACCAGTTCTGGACAAAAAGCCCTGACTCCAGAAGTCTTGGAAGTACGCGTTTTGGCGAGAATATGACCCGTTCATTTGAAAGGGAACCAAGAAGCAACAGCTGAACCCACCACCTCGTCAGCTTCCATGGTTGAACGAGGGAGGGCACCAAATCGAACCTCTTCAGCCCAAGTCTGGGACTTGGGAGTCCTGTCTACGTTGGGAACAGTGACACAATGCATACGGGCATTGGTTTTGTCTCTGATCCAAACAGCAACCCCGCACAATAAATCGAACAAGGGGGGGCTGGATGACTCAGACTGACACCAACAAAGAAAGGACCATATTTGTTCGTGCCAGGGTAGGGTGCGTCACAAAGTGGCCATTTCTGTTTGGACCTGTCTTCAAATACGGGACTCGGGACCCACGCAGGTGAAAGGGGTGCACCAGCCCTCCGCTCCTTGTTGCAGGAAGTCAGCCTGCCGCGACAGCAGCGCGCCCAGCGCGCGGCTGGCCAGGCGCCCATCCTTCAAGGAGAATTTGGCCAGCAGGTGAAGAGAGGCAGTGCAGTGGATGTGGTCCAGACCTCAGACTCAGCAGCAGAACCAGGGAGGCCCCTGTCACATGTGCCTTTCAAAGTGACCTTCCTTAAACGTGATCTGTCGGATTTATGACTGCTTGGAAGCCTCCCATTTGTTCAGTTGCTGGTTGGCTTGCGCAACATGGCCACCATGGTCCTGTTCCTTTGCATTCCTGAATGCCAGCCAGCTATGTACCCGGCCGGTGCTCTTTAGAATCCTCCTGTGAAAGGATGGCTGTCTGGAGGCCAATGTGCGGGGTGACTTGGAGTCAGCCTGCATGTATATCCTGTGAAGGCGGCTCATGTGCATCAGCGAGAAAGGGAGGCATTGTAGCATTGATCCCACAAACTCGCATGCACCAGAGCGCGCACGCGTGAGCAGGCACGCACGCAGGCACGCACGCGCGTGCCCACCACGCCACGCCACCAGGTCATGCCCTGCCGCAGACCATGCTATTTTTGTTCGCACCTGCATTGCTTGGTGTTGAACTCCTGTTCAAGTCAGCTATAGACGGCGAGTTGTCCTCAAGCAGCACTTGAAATCTGAAATCTGAGGCGCTCACTCTTGAGATTCTGCGCCACCAGGACCAGAACCTTCCAAGGATAAGCTGAGACCCCTGAAAATGGTCCACGCAATTGATCCCGTTCCGTTCCGAAGGTTCTTGGAGGTTTTCTTTGGACTACAGTAGACCGTCTGGGGCCTTCCTGCTGCCTGTTGGTGTAGAGGGGGATGTCGATCCGCGGCGAAGGCCATGTGTACCTAAAGGTTCCTTCAACGGTCACGTGGCTACCAGGCCGTCTAGCTTTGGTGGTTTTGCCGAAAGGGGTCCGCGAGGCTCTTTGGCTTGGCCCATGTCACCAGCATGCCACACTTCGGCTTTGCGAGTGTCCACATTGCCGATATTCCAGGCTCGCAACAAACCCTCTGAGCTGTAAGCTGCCTAAGCTGCTTCGACAGCAGACAACCCAACCGCCAACCCTCCCCCGCCACCCGAGACCCCGAGGTGTTTGCTGGAACTTGGCACTCCGGAGCCTCCTCCCCGGAGCTGCACCGGCTGATGAGCGCGGTGCCCAAGCGACTTTGGGGGAAGCGGCGCATGGCTGAGCGACCCTCGCCATGCGGCAAGCGGCAAAAATCGGCCCAGACACCTTCCCGCAAAGACAGGGGGGGTCGGGTCTCGGGGGCGGGTTGGGTTGTCAACTATGGCAAAAAGAGCGAAATTTACCGGGATGTTGAACAGCAGGTGCATAAACATGCACTGTGACGCTTTGGAGCAGGCTCCTTTCGGAAAGGGCCGAGTTGACAAGGAGACTGGCACGAAACTGCGTCAGCCGAAGGGGGGCCGAATTTCAAGACAGAGCTGCATAAATTTAGATCTGCTAATAAAATCTATCAGAAGACTAGATGCGCCAGATGATGCTAGATGTTTTGCATCACACATGTAGCTAGAACGAGTGAAGTTCCATGTGTCCTAACTCTATGCTTCATTAGGAGTTTCAGAAATGCTCGCTTGAAGGCTCAAGTAACAGTACATTGAAAGCAAGTCAACCTGGAGCCCAAAAGAAGCCACTGAAATCGCACATGCGGCATCAAACACATTCCATCAAAAGGATGTTTCTTTCTCAAGCCAGCAAACCATCAAAGCCTTGCGGCGTAGGAAAAGAGCTCTCCTTGCCGCAGGTTTGATCGCGGATTCTTTCTTCGCCCAAGCCGGATCGCAGCACGTCTCCTCTCATTGACGCAGGTGTCTCCTTTTAGAAATACAGAGCACTTCATCTCCCGCAAAAGGTCAAACAAGGGAGACCCCTGCCGCGTCAAGCCCTTCTCTCGTCAGCTTTCACCGCAGCCTCTCCTCAACTTCTGCTCATGGACGTGGCCCGATTGAGATCAACTCGCCGTCGTCTGTCGCCGCACACCGAAATGGGCCGTCGGGGATGCGATCAGTTGCTTCAGCTGCCAGGGAGGTCGGAGATCGCCGGACACCGACGGCAATTCAAACGGGCAGCTGCTCGATGTATGCCGTGGTCTCCACCTTCCAATGAGAAGGGCACTGACAATGGCAGAATGTGTATTTCAAGCCGTTTGCAAATTCACAAACCTGAAACGGGTGGCTTTCAAAGGAATCTTCATGGCACATGGGGTTGCAAAAACTCTTGTGATGTTGCTATATTTCTTGCTCAGTCCTTTAACCGAAATGGACAGGGAAAAGCCGGAGTCCGTTAGCTTGCTTCACATCGCCACGCCAGCTCTTCCAACATTGACTTGAATTGCTACCTACCCCTGAAGAAGCAAGAGGGTCTGTGGCACCTGGTTGCAACCGGACCACTTTTGGCAACTTTAAAGCCCAACCCCCGTTCTGGGTCTGATGTGTAAGCCGCGGGATCCCTCCATGGTAGAAGCAGTGCACATCCAGCCACCAAATAGGATGTCTGGCTGTGTCAAGACCTGGGACCTTTCTCATCGGCTGGTCTCCTCCTTGCGTACTGTTGTTTTGCAAACCTGAAATCAGGAATCCCCACGTAAAGGATCTTTACCAGGTACATGAGCTCGTTTGACCCCGAATCGGTGAGCTCGCCATAAAAACTAGGCACTCCATGCGACGCTCCGCCTGGCGCAGGAGCTGCACGTCCCGCAGGACTTCCTCGCTGCAGCCTTGCAGCACCACTGCCCCGGGGCACGTGGAGAGGCCCACCGTCAGGTGCACCTTGCGGAAAGTGCGCGAGCACGTGGCGGGGGCGGGGGGGGTGCTTCGTGCTCGTGGGAAGGCACAACCAGAATTCTTTTTGGAGTCTCGGACGGTCCGCAACTGGGCGGCTGATGTCCCAAATTGCGAAGTGGCATTGAAGGGACACCCGCCGAACACAATGTATTTTTGCAGCAAAGCGTGTCAGCGAAGGGAACTTGGCTCATTTTTAGCACTATATATATATAATATATATATATACATATATATATATATATTTATACATGTCATGCAGATTTAGATTTTTGCGGTGCACCAGAAAAAATCGTTTTGCAAACCCCTGGAAACCCGCAACCAAACACATCCAAGCAGTGAGTCACTTTCCGTCGCCCAAGATCGAGGGCTTGGACTCCAAGGCGCCCGGTGGGAGTGAAAGGGAGGGCGGCACTCCTGCAGCCCTCGTTCGAAGAAGGCAAACCTCGGGACGTGAAACTTTATGCACCCCAAAATGTGCAGTCTCTTGGCTACGTGTACCCAGTCCGAGGGGTCTCTCACTTGGGGTCTCTAAGTTGTGTCCGCAATTGAGGTCAAGGGGCACCCCCTTTGTCGGTTGGAATGGGTGGTTGACCTCAGGCTCGTTCCAACTCTTCTTGGTTCGTCTTTTGAATGCGCCTTTTTCTTTCACGGCACGCGCGGCAAACTCAGATGACTAAGTCGCTGAAGTTATGGGGCAACTTGTACCGAGTGAGGCCCTTATTCATAGGGTTGATTGGGAATCCCAGTTCTGACTGTGTTCCATCAAGCGCGTTGTGTTTCATATGAAGCACGGTTGCTTGCAAAAAGGTTTGATTGAACAAGGGCTGCAGGTAGTGGTCGGAAAATCCTTGATTGGATTCCTTTGGTAGTTCCCTAGTGCAATCCAATCTATCTCATCGTGCTTCTCACACATAGAAGGACCCGTCCCCACAAAGCACGTAATTATCATATTACTCCTTCATCACTACCTCGCCAGCCTCAGACTCAGCTTCTTCCCGTCACCGGCATTTTCCCAGCCAGGGCCGAGCAGCGTCTTCAGCCCATAGGCCCTCTCCAGCGCCTCCGCCGTCAGCCACCCCTCCAGCGGCGACTTCAGAAAGACCACGGCAGCCTGGCGATTTCTTGCGCTTCCGAGAGCTGTGGTGCAAACCGTTTCAGGTGTCAACTGGTGGGTTGAGGACCGATTTAGTCAACTGGAAAACCGTAGCCCCTTTCTGGGCCACATGCCTAACATGTGGCAGTTCCGGACGATGTCTTGTACCACTGAGGGTTAAATGAGATGTTTCTAGGGACAGGTAGCGCAGCTCTACACCAACCGACCTTTTCGGGGTCTATGTTTCCATACCACCCAATGGAAAAAGACAACGCTGCCCTGAGGTTATACCCCACTTCGCTCACAAACCAGTTTCCCCCCTTTGGCTGCCAGCTTCTCAAGACTGTACGGGTGTACGTGTGTGTGTGTGTGTTCTTTTGGACCCAGTTTGGTAAGCAACGGCTCTGAGTCAAAGCTCGCAAACCCGGAGCCAAAACCCGCCGATTCGCATCGCCTGGTTGGCCACGTCCGCGGAAGGAACCTCCGGCAGCGCCAGAAATCTCGACTCGTCCTGAGGTGGACGGACCTTTTGGCCCTTGTAGGGAACGAGCCTCAGGAGCATTTGACCCCCAAAAAACCAAGGTTTGGGTAAGGGGGGAGCAAGGGAAACCCGCTCAGCCGCAATGTACTGTTTTTGGTGGCTGGATGTGGTTTATCCTTCATATTGAAAGTACGCCAACTGCACAACTCGGGAATTTACGGAGTTGTCCTTGTTTGTAGGATGCATTTCAGAGGAACCAAACTTCTCCTGCCTACTCCCGAAGCTAAGGTTGCGTGCCCCGGTTACCCCAATTCACTGGAAGCTATAACCCCAAACTGCATGTACTCAATGCATAATATCTATTCATGTATCTGCGGCTCATTTAGTTTGAAGCCATTAGTAATTGTTGTGCGCAATGAAGGGGTGCGCAGCAGTCCTTGACTGTTGCCTTTCGGCTCTCAAATTTCAGGGCACAGAACAAGTGGCCAGCACCTTCCGGAATGGCACCAAGTCCCACAAGGGCGCCCAGGGCATCATTTGAAAGGTGCTTCCCTGTCTCTCGCATTTTGTTTTGCCCTTCTGCCCGCAAGCTTCAGGCGGGACATGGCAGGACACCTGAGCACCACTGCTTGACTTGTGGTTTGAACGCATGGTGATAAAAACAAATGAAAAGCACCAACATGAAGGGGAAGAGAGAACCTCATCATACAAAGCCAGGATTGGCCACATGGGTTTAAGTCTTTTAACGCCCGGGCTGGTGTGACCGAACCAAATGGAAACCACCCAATTTGGGAACCGCTGCCCTTGGATGCCAAGTCACGAAAAGGCTCATAGCGAGAACATCCAGCCTTGGCTCCGTGCAAAACCCTCCGGGCATGGACAACCTGAAAGGAACTCAATTGGAGAGCCCGAAACACAGGGGGCCCAAGAAGGGAGGTACAAAATTGGTGGAATTCAGGTCACAGAGTGCAGGAAGGCATGGGAAGTGCTTGCAGGGTCCTTTTCAGGTCGCTGCTCTGTCTGATCTTTTCCGCGGCGCTCTCTTACATCCCGACTGCATCACGTACATGGTGGCGCGAAGCGCTGCTTTCGCTGTCTGACATTCCCAGGCCTAGGCCTGCTTGATCGCGCAAGTGCTACTGAGCGCCGGCATTGGTCAGATCCTCAGATCCTCGGCTCCGCTTTACTGAAGGAAAAGGCCTCTGGTTGCACCAGCGACAGGATCTCCGCACAAGGCGCACTGCTGAAGCTCCTGGCTCAACTTGCGGCGGCTCTGGCAAGCGCAACAGCACCACGACGGGCTACGCCTCCGCGCAGATCGGGCAGCTGCAAACCCGAGTCTTGGCGGATCATTGCAAAAACGAACCACCCATGGAGTGATGAGGCTCCCATCCAATTTCCCATGCACCACGCCACCCAGGTTCCGCAGGCAGTCCGCCACTTCCCTGGCCACTCCGTCTTTGCTCATGGAGCGCCAACACGAAGCGCCCAAGAAATGTGACCAGACAGCAGAGCCAATGCCGAGCTTGATGGCCGACAGTAAGTCGGATGATATCAAAGGAGGTGGTCGCATTGGGAGAGGGACTCTTCAATTGGAACCGTTTGTCAGAAGCAAATGTCCATTGCGCACGTTGGCGGTGTTGGCGACCAACTTGAACTTACTTGTGTTTCTAGCCGTGCTTCCCCATTCTTTCCGGGTGTTTCTATTTTTCCAGAATCTCGAGAAGCCAAGGGATGTTGTTGGTAGAAAAGATGCAAGGCGTGGCATCTTCACAGATCTACTCTTTGACCCAACCCAAGGAACCACTTGACAAAGACAAAACGTGTCAAATGAACTCCTGGACCACGCACTCAAGTGGCTAGGCCAAATAATTCTGAGCCCTTGATTCTTACCAACAATATCATCCCTGATGTCCACTATATAGATGACGGGCTTTACTTCTGTTGGTTGTCTCTGATGAACAATTCATACATGGATACCCTAGCCCGCGCGTTGCAAGTAAGGAACCCGGAAAATCCCGTCATGTTGCGCAGTTGCCCTGGTTTCGGTGGTTGGACGTGATTGGACCAACGGGTCATTTGACAAAGTCGAAGGACGCCGGCGAACCTGGAGGATGCGATCGAGGCACTGTGTGGGGGGTGGCCCCCGCGGCAAGCCGCCGGAGCACCGGGCGTTCACCTCGTAGATGTAGGGGGTTCCATCCACCCAGACCAGCTCCTAGGTGCCAAGCAGCACTGAGCGACGTTGGGCCCCTTGTTTGAACCCGTCAAATAAAACCAGCAAGCTTTCATCAACCTCCTTTTGGGGGATCAGCCAGGGATCCTGGCCACATGGCCAAAGAAACACCAACCCCACATGAATGGTTCTTTTTGGGGCCATAAGAACCAGCAAACACAAGGTTACCTTTTGAAGACGGACTTTTCCTTCTGAAGCCACCAATCTTTAGTCAACCCTTTTTCAATTAGGGACCAGGGCAATTATCGTGGTCCCGGAACGTCTCCAAACGACGGCTTTACACACGTGCAACCGAGGAACCTGGAAATGCTGGTTCATATTTTGGGCTGCTCTAACCCACCAAATGGATCGACACTGATTGACATCAGAAGGTTATGAGCAACGGTCCTATCTTTTTTTATATTGTTGCGCAACTGCATGCCTTGGTGAGAAATACCTGACCCCCAATGATCATGTGGTGAATGCGCCCGTTTGGCCAGTCAAACTCGGGCGGCAGGAATCGGCTAGCCGGAACCTCAAGGTCGAGTCTTTCCCAACCTGTCTCCACCCAAGTGTTTAGCGGTTCTGCAACGCTGTTTCAGAACATCTGTGTGTGGAGCTCGTATTAACTAGATGCTCACAGATTGTAGGTGGTGCCTAAGCTGGTAACTGGGATTCGGGATCAAGATACACCATGCGAAGCAAAGCAAAATCTTTCAAGAAATAGCTACTCCGACAGTGGACTTCATAATGCATGGCGCAAAAAATGGATAAGCCTCTACTCGGTTCGTCTCAGACCTGCCCTGTTGTCTTTGTTGTTTTTATTTCTTTCTCTGAAGTTCATTCTGAAAAGCCAACAGTCAGGAAGTCCTCTTCTTCTTCACGACCATTCGACTGGTATGCCTACTATATATTATATTACATGTACACATCCAGTGGTTGGATGAAACGGCAAACTGGAATCTGTTCCTTCATGGCGGAGCGGGACTTTGGAGAACGCGGGGACAAACACAGGGTGAATTCTTAAGAACAAAGAGAGGGACAAGGTCCCTAGATGTCCCCTTCAAACATCGCTTAAATCCGCCGACAACAGACGGCGTGTTGGACACACAAAATGCTCCTTACCTCTTTACCTGTTACCCATCCCCTAACCCCTCCCCAGGGGCACCATTTCAGACTGTTGCGGGGGGGGGGGAAGACGCTTCACTAAATCTGTTCATTGTGCGGGCTTGCGCAACTCAGTTTGTCAAAAACATTGGGGTGTTCGATTCCCCCCGGGTGCGCGTTCGCATCCTTAGCAGCTCCAGCGGCACATCGCCAGCATCACCTGCATCATCCGCATCAGCGCCAAGGATGCGAATGATGCAAGTGATGCTGGGGATGTTGCCCATGCTGGTGAAGGAAATGAAGGGGGGGAAAGGGGGAAATGATGTCAACAGCGAAAAGGGGGGAAAGATCTCAGGGAGGAAAGGGAGAAGATCTGGGGAAAAAATGCCTTAAGGGGGAAAGGGGGGAAAAGATCTTTGGGAGGAAAAGGGAAATCTTTCTCGGGGGGAACAGGCCCTAAGGGGCAATGGGGGGACAGGATCTCAAACAGGAAAGGGGGAAAAAGACTTTGGGAAGAGAAGGGTGGAGATCTTGGGGGGAAAAGGCCTTAGGGGGGAAACGGGGGAAAGGATCTTAAGCGGGAAAGGGGGGAAAAGATCTTAGGGAGGCAAAGGGAGACGAACTCAGGGAAAAGGACTTAGGGAGGAAAGGGGGGGAAAGATCTTTGGGAGGAAAAGGGAGAAGAACTGAGGGTGGGAAAAGGCCTTAGAAGGAAAAGGGGGGAAATAAATGATCTCAACAGGGAACTGGGGGGGGGGGGGGAAGATCTTAGGGAGGAAAGGCAGAAGATCTGGGGCAAAAAGGCCTTAGGGGGGAAAGGGGAGAAATGATCTCAACAGGGAAAGGGGTGGAAAAGATCTTAGGGAGGAAAGGGAGAAGATCTGGGGGAAAAAAGGGGGGAAAGATCTACGGAAGGAAAAGGGAGAAGCTCTCAGGGGGGGAAAGGCCTCAGGGGGAAAGGGTGGGAAGGATCTCAACAGGGAAAGGGGGGAAACAATCTTAGGAAGGAAAGGGGGGGGGAAGATCTTAGGGAGGAAAGGGAGAAGATCTGGGAGAAAAGGACTTAGGGGGGAAAGCCCAACAGGGAAAGGGGGGAAAAGATCTTAGGAAGGAAAAGGGAGAAGCTCTCAGGGGGGGAAAGGCCTTGGGAGGGAAAGGGGGGAAAGGATCTCAACAGGGAAAGGGTGGGAAAGATCTTAGGGAGGAAAGGGAGAAGATCTTAGGGAGGAAAGGGGGAAGATCTGGGAGAAAAGGGCTTAGGGGGGAAAGCCCAACAGGTAAAGGGGAAAAGGGAGAAGCTCTCAGGGGGGGGAAAGGCCTTAGGGGGGAAAGGGGGAAAAGGATCTCAGCAGGGAAAGGGGGGGGGGGGAAAGATCTTAGGGAGGAAAGGCAGAAGATCTGGGGACAAAGGCCTTAGGGGGGAAAGTGGAGAAATGATCTCAACAGGGAAAGGGGTGGAAAAGACCTTACGGAGGAAAGGGAGAAGATCTGGGGAAAAAAAGGCCAACAGGGAAAGGGGGCAAAGATCTAAGGAAGGAAAAGGGAGAAGCTCTCAGGGGGGGGGAAAGGCCTGAGGGGGGAAAGGGTGGGAAGGATCTCAACAGGGAAAGGGGGAAAACAATCTTAGGAAGGAAAAGGGAGAAGATCTGGAAAGGCCTTAAAGGGAAGGGGGGAAAGGATCTCAACAGGGAAAGGGGGCAAAGGATCTTAAGGAGGAATAGGAAGAAGATCTCAGCGGGGGGAAAGGCCGTAGGGGGGAAAGGGGGGAAAGGATCTCAACAGGGAAAGGGGGGGAAAGATCTCAGTGAGGAAAGGGAGAAGGTCCCAGGCAGGGAAAAGGCCTTAGGGGGGAAAGGGGGAAAGGATCTCAACAGGGAAAGGGGGCAAAGGATCTTAGGGAGGAAAAGGGAGAAGATCTGAAAAGGCCTTAGGGGGAAAAGGGGGAAAGGAGCTCAACAGGGAAAGGTGGGAGAAGATCCTAGGGAGGAAAAGGGAGAAGATCTCGGAAGGAAAGGGGAAAAGGATCTCAACCAAGGGAAAAGATCTTGGGGAGGACAAGGGAGAAGATCTCAGGGGGGGAAAGGCCTCAGGGGGGGGAAAGGGGGGAAAAGGATCTCAACAGGGAAAGGGGGCAAAGGATCTTAGGGAGGAAAAGGGAGAAGATCTTGGGGGGGGAAAACGCCTTAGGGGGGAAAGGGCGGGAAAGGATCTCAACAAGGAAAGGGGGGAAAAGATCTTAGGAAGGAAAAGGGGGAAGATCGCGGGGGGAAAAAAGGCCTTAGGGGGAAAGGAGGGAAAGGATCTCAACAGGGAGAGGGGGGAAAACATCGTAGGGAGGAAAAAGGGAAAAACTCAGAGGGAGAAAGGGCCTTAGGGGGGAAAGGGGGAATGGATCTCAACAGGGAAAGGTGGCAAAAGATCTTAGGGAGGAAAAGGGAGAAGATCTCAGGGGGGGAAAGGCCTTAGGGGGGAAAGGGGGAAAAGGATCTCAGCAGGGAAAGGGGGGGAAAGATCTTAGGGAGGAAAGGGAGAAGATCTGGGGGCAAAGGCCTTAGGGGGGAAAGGGGAGAAATGATCTCAACAGGGAAAGGGGTGGAAAAGATCTTAGGGAGGAAAGGGAGAAGATCTGGGGGAAAAAAGGGGGGAAAGATCTACGGAAGGAAAAGGGAGAAGCTCTCAGGGGGGGAAAGGCCTCAGGGGGAAAGGGTGGGAAGGATCTCAACAGGGAAAGGGGGGAAACAATCTTAGGAAGGAAAGGGGGGGGGGAAGATCTTAGGGAGGAAAGGGAGAAGATCTGGGAGAAAAGGACTTAGGGGGGAAAGCCCAACAGGGAAAGGGGGGAAAAGATCTTAGGAAGGAAAAGGGAGAAGCTCTCAGGGGGGGGAAAGGCCTTGGGAGGGAAAGGGGGGAAAGGATCTCAACAGGGAAAGGGTGGGAAAGATCTTAAGGAGGAAAGGGGGGGGAAGATCTTAGGGAGGAAAGGGAGACGATCTGGGAGAAAAGGACTTAGGGGGGAAAGCCCAACAGGGAAAGGGGGGAAAAGATCTTAGGAAGGAAAAGGGAGAAGATCTGGGGGAAAAAAGGCCAACAGGGAAAGGGGGGAACGATCTAAGGAAGGAAAAGGGAGAAGCTCTCAGGGGGGGGGGAATGGCCTGAGGGGGGAAAGGGTGGGAAGGATCTCAACAGGGAAAGGGGGGAAACACTCTTAGGAAGGAAAAGGGAGAAGATCTGGAAAGGCCTTAAACAGGGCCAGCCAAAAGACCAAAAACAACATTGCCGCAGCCCACTTGTTAATCGGCCAGCCATGCCCTTATCTGACCCTCACGCTTTGCAGCCCCAAGCAACTGATCAGGATAGCATATCCTCAAACTTCCTTGTACGATTACGGCTGGAACCTCCAACTGAGGGGGGTCGTCCAACCCTGTAGAAAGTAAAGGCGGCTTGTCTTTAGAAGGGAATGTCCAGACTTGCTTGTCTGTGGGGTGTGCCGGTTCCCTACCCCGTAAACGTGCTCGGCGGCCCGCCGAGCTCTTTTAGGGGGTTGCCAAGTCTGCAACCACAAGCCGTAAGAGCGGTCATCACCACCTTGGGGTCACCGAGCTCCCTACCCTCTAAAAGTGCTCGGCGGGCCGCCGAGCTCTTTTAGGGGGTTGCCAACTCCACAACCCCATAAAAAAGCAATTGGAAGAAGCGTGTGGCTTGCAGCCAGACACCTCTAGCGGCAAAATACCCGTTCGCACTCGGGCTACAGCTTGCAGAAAGTAAGGGTGGCCTATCTTTAAACGGGAATGTTCAAACTTGAGCTTGCTTCCCTGCAAACGTGCTGAGTGGCCCGCCGAGCTATCTTAGAGGGCTGACTGTCCAATCAAATGCCATGACAGTCGTCCACCCTGCTCCCTGCAATGTTGATATCTCTTGGTGTTGCAGCGTTTTGGCTGCCCCTGTTAAAGGGAAGGGGGGAAAGGATCTCAACAGGGAAAGGGGGGAAAAGATCTTAGGAAGGAAAAAGGGAGAAGATCTGGGGGAAAAAAGGCCAACAGGGAAAGGGGGGGAAAGATCTAAGGAAGGAAACGGGAGAAGCTCTCAGGGGGGGAAAGGCCTTAGGCGGGAAAGGGGGAAAAGGATCTCAGCAGGGAAAGGGGGGGGGGAAAGATCTTAGGGAGGAAAGGGACAAGATCTGGGGACAAAGGCCTTAGAGGGGAAAGGGGAGACATGATCTCAACAGGGAAAGGGGTGGAAAATATCTTAGGGAGGAAAGGGAGAAGATCTGGGGGAAAAAAGGCCAACAGGGAAAGGGGGGAAAGATCTAAGGAAGGAAAAGGGAGAAGCTCTCAGGGGGGGAAAGGCCTGAGGGGGGAAAGGGTGGGAAGGATCTCAACAGGGAAAGGGGGGAAACAATCTTAGGAAGGAAAAGGGAGAAGATCTGGAAAGGCCTTAAAGGGAAGGGGGGAAAGGATCTCAACAGGGAAAGGGGGCAAAGGATCTTAAGGAGGAATAGGGAGAAGATCTCAGCGGGGGGAAAGGCCGTAGGGGGGAAAGGGGGGAAAGGATCTCAACAGGGAAAGGGGGGGAAAGATCTCAGGGAGGAAAGGGAAAAGATCCCAGGGAGGAAAAGGCCGTAGGGGGGAAAGTGGGGGAAAGGGAGGAAAAGGGAGAAGATCGCGGGGGGAAAAAAGGCCTTAGGGGGGAAAGGGGGGAAAGGATCAACAGGGAGAGGGGGGAAAACATCTTAGGGAGGAAAAGGGAAAAAATCAGAGGGAGAAAAGGCCTTAGGGCGGAAAGGGGGAATGGATCTCAACAAAGAAAGGGGGGCAAAAATCTCAGAGGGGAAGGGGGCAAGGGGACAATTCCAAAGGGACGCAAGTAAGAAAGCAGGCCTGTCATGTCGGCGGCCTGAGCCGGAGGCGTTAAAATTTGGATGACGCTTCATTTTGATACGGCCAAAAGCTGATGCCCAAAACAAGCCAAAACCCAAGGAACATCAAGGAAACCACAACGAGCGCGCGCTCGACTCGACCTGAAACCCATCGCTCGCCTGTGCCGATCGAGGCGCCGTGTGCGCAGCTCCCTCCCACAAGCCTAAAACTGTGAGTGAGTCCTTCACCATCTGAACCACCTGAGCCCGCGTCCGCTAGAAAGACAAAAAGAGAGAGAGAGAGAGAGAGAGAGACACACAAAAAATAATAATGCTGTATTTGTTGCATGCTTCTGTGTGTCAATACCTTGGGAAACAGCAGCTCATGCTACAATTGGATGTTACGTAAAACCGGAAAACCCCTTTGTGGCCAGTCATGAGGGAACCAAATCAAACTGCGTCACAAACACGATTTGCCTGAGACCTCTGGAAGGTCGCCCCTTTGCGTCGACGAAGTCTCCCCCCTTCGCCCACCCGCCTGAAGCATTCGCTCGGACTCCCCGGCCAGGTACTGCACGTTGTAGACGAAGTGCTCGGGCCCAGCGCCGATCAACGTCTTGGATGGCCCGCACCAGGCCTCGGCTGCCACAATTGGGCTCAAGAGTCGCACCGAGGGCTTCCGGCAATACCTGGGGAAGATGGGTATGCCAAAGATATGCTAGCGCTATATGGGCGTGGCTCAAAATTGATGAGCCAGGGTTTCGCAGGTGTTAGTCTTTGGTTCCAGATACCAAGATACCATTTTAGTACAATTGTGTGAGCCACAGCCATATGATAATTGTCATGGCTGCATTGTGTTTGGGGTACGAATCAATGGGATCGAGGCATATCAAGTCATGTGCGCCTGACTAATGCCTCCAAACTAGAAGAGCATATACGAAGATTGTAGCTGTATATATTTGGTTCATACCCACTGGGGGGATGGTTTGCCCAGTAAATTGGCATGCAAATGAAGGGATACACCCTCGAGGGCACGTGACTCCCGCTGACAATCTGTAACATATTTGGTGGTTGTCTGAACTTTTCAGCTCCAAATTAGTGCACGAAGTGCGCTTCCGCAGCTCCAGCTTACAAGCCGATCCGTTGGCCCCCCATGTCCGAAAAGTGGCTGGGAGGCCCATCGACTTTCGTGAAACTTTCGCGTCTTGCGGCAACTCTCAGGCTGCGACTGTGTGCATTTTGCACGCACTGCCGTCAATTACACATGGCTCATCATTCCATTGTAACAAACCACCCTTACTCAAACCCTTCGCGAGAAAAGACACATCGCGAAGCTTTCGCGGAGGGCAACACTAAGACAGAAGGTCTTCCCCTTCATACCTGAATGCAAATGACCTTTCGGACGACTCGCACTTGTGACGTCTGTTCACGAAAGCCGTACGGATCAATCCCTTTGCAAAGTCATCGTGAGTCATATTTCTTTCAAACTTGCGGGGAGCTAAGGACAAACCTTGAGGTCGAATCCCTTGTGAATTCAAATTCCATGGCTGTCCCTTTCCCCTGCTCGTCCTTCACGCTTTGGAGTGAGAAGCCAACCTGAGGTCTTCTGCACGATGCAAATCTGCCGCTCGGCCTTCCGGGCTCTTTTTGCAAAAAAGGCTCTGTGTCTCTGTACTCTGCCATGTTTGCGTTTAGGAGCGTATGCAAATTGTAATGTAATTCGTGTTAAAGCAGGCGTCATCCTCACGTGCAACCAAACTCTCATAAAAAGGTGACCACATCCTGAAACCACTAAAAAACAGTTGCAGACACTGGTTGAAACAAAACTGGGTTGGTCCGTGACCGCCTGCAACAAAGAAACACAGTTTGCCGTTTGGTAGGGAATGTTTGCCATCTTCCTAAAATCCGGCAGTTTTTAGTTTTTTGTTTTTTGTTTCTCCTTCTTTCCGAATCGCACCAAAGAGCAACCAAGCCGAAAAGGACCTACTTTTTCCCGATCGCCGAGCAGCATCCGTGACCTTGTGCACGCCTCTGCGGCTCACGGTGTTGATCACCCATTCCTCACCTCAGCCATGAAACCTGTCACCTTATGAATTCGCATCGCTTGGAATTTCGCGTGGTTTCCTCCTTGTCTTTTTGCAATGGGGCAATGATGGCTATGCACGGCTATGCACGGCTATGCACGGCTATGCACGGCTATGCACGGTATGTGCTCCAGTGCTCCAGGCCGACGTGGCCACAAGTGCAGCGTTTATCCTGCAATAGGTTGCAGTCACAGGAATAAAGAGCTCGGGCTACTGGAAGTCAACAGACTGGATGTGCTGAGCATTGGTTGGACTGGGCACGGCGGCTGATAAGTTGGCCATCCCGGCCATCGGTTTGACTATCGGCTCGCCCTGGAAATGTCCGACGCAACAATTTTACTCTTGTTCCTCCTTCCACGTTTCACATAGGCTGCTCACAGCAGAACCTACCGCAACTCAGGCCCAGGTGTCTTTTATGGCTTCTAGAGGTGTCCTGCAAAGCAAGTTTAGGGACAAGCCCTGACATGACGACACGGCGCGGGTTGTTGACTTCAATCAAGTTGGCGGGTTTTTAGCTTGAAGTGAACCCCACTGTGGGACAAACCACAAAAGCCCTAGCAAACCCAAAAAGGAGGCCCCTCCACCATTCGCTTGCGAGACAACCAACTACTGGCAAAAACACCTTGACAAATGACACTCACACATTTCAGCATAGCTAACATGCGCCTTTTCAGGGCGCGACATGACAACTTGACGGGACACGCAACTTGCGGGTGGATGAGCCCATCAACTCGACAAACAGTCAAGACCGAGAAGCCAACAATGCGGACCAGCCCGGACCAACAGGAGTCGGTAGTTGATTCTTTGCTCGCCATCATGATCAGAAGAAACGGTATTGCAATGAGTCCGGCTTTGTTGGCACATGCCTTCATCCAGACCTTGGAGTCGGAAGCCAGCTCTCAAGCATTTCCCTCTTGCGGGCTTCAGCCAGTCATCCTGTACAAAGCAGTGGCAATCAGCCGGAAACGGCTGCTCAAACAATGCCGAAAGAGTCGACATCTGTGAAACAGCAGATGGAAATTGCCTCAGGCTTGCCAGGCGCCCCGGAGTCTGCGGTTTCCCCTGAGCTGCTGACCCAGCAAGGCTTCAGTGACGATGAGCTCCGTGTTCACCCCAAGCTCCTGGGCTGCCGTCAGAGATTTCTCAGCCTGAGGTCTGCCAAACCCCCCCCATCCCCCCCATCCCCCCCATCCCCCCCATCCCCCCCATCCCCCCCCCACCCTACCATGGAAGACACACAAAGACATGGGGATAAGCCATCAAATGAAGCCATGTGTGTCACAGGGGATCTCCAGCTTGATTCTCGGGGCATTGAATCAACCTTAGCATTCAAACCCATCCAAAGGGATTCCAAATGAGATAAGCCCACTGCCATGTTCTGCCAAGGTGGCTGCTCAAACGGAAGAAGCACCTGCTCCAATCAAGTGCGTCCAGTACAATACAGCCGGAACTAGTTGCTTCCCCAAAGAAACAAGGCTTCCTGGGCGAACTTGCCGGCCTCCTTTATGAGCTAGGCAATGGAAGCCATAGGTTACCCATCAAGAGCTTGCGTCTGCTGTTGATCCCCGGGGCTGATGCCAACAGGGAATTTCCCATTGATGGGCTTGTCCGTTCGCCATGGCTCTGAAAGAGAGCCCCAGGAGAGACTCTGGTGCAAGGTTAGAACATTGATTTTTGCAACGGAACACCCAAGAAAATGAAGCCCCGACATGGAAGATGCCCCAAACCTCAATGGAAAAGGCCGCGTGATCTTTAGGTTGGGACCATTCCCAACAAGTCAGTACCAACAAACTGAACCATTAACAGAGTACCCCTGGCTTTGGTGGGAAACAAACATGAGTCTCCCATGTCCTGCCCCCCACATCAACATCAAATGACTATACGGTTGTTTCCAAAAATGACGGTTCCCCAGATGGTTGGCTTCCTTTAGGGAATCCTTTAAGACCATCCAAAATGGGTTCTCAATTTGAGGACATACCCATGCCCAGCTGGGCCGCAAGGCTGAAACCTTGTGCAGTCCTGATGCTCTTTCCCAAGCTCTTGCTCGAAAGCTGTCGAGATGTCCTGGCTGCGATAAGCATGTGGGTGTATCTCAAAGTTTGGGGACTGTTCCATTGGCTAGCTTCTTTTCGTTTCCTTTCAACAGTCAGCCAAATGGGTCCCCGAAAAAGGCATGCCATATTCTGTTCAAATCAATATGTCAAATTATCAAACAATGTCGAAATCAAGCAATGAATTGAAGACATGGAATTGGTTGGCATTGTTAAAGTGACTTGGTATGTTCGCTTCACTTGAGCCTTGTTGGAATCTGTCAACTTTAAATCGAACTATCACGGAATGTGTCAAATGGTTTCCCAGCAAACAAGCGAGTCAACAGGAAACATTAAGAAGGCGACAGACCAAACGATTCTCTGGGCACCTACACAGGAGCATGACAATCACTGGCACCAAAGCAACCAAACAACAACTACAACCACAACCACAACCACAACCACAACATAAAGACAAGTTAAACAAACCGGTCGCGCGTACACATGCAGAAATACGCCAAACACACAACTAAGCTCTCGAGAGTAAATAGGCAATGACGCAACAACAAATCACAACAACACATCAATGAGAACCAACCAGCCAACCAAGCAACCCACTGACCGACCAACCGAACAACCAACCAACCAACAGCCCATCCTTACAAAACCTTACCCAACCTTAGCCAACCCTATCCACCCACCCACCCACCTACCCACCCACCTACGCACCAACTCAACAGGCAAGGCAGGCAAGTAAGCAGAGCAAGCAAAGAGCGAGGCAGGCAACGCAAGCAAAGCAAACCAAGCAAGCAAATCAAAGCCAGGACGCACAGAGCCAGGCAAGTAAGTGAATGCCAACTTCCTCTCAAGCCCAAACATACGCTTTGACATCCAAAAAAAGGCATGTGTCAGAATTAGACCCTCAATGATCAGCCTCTTCCTTTTCGTACAAAAAAACACCATTTAGTTTCACACATATCCAGCAAGGCTTGCCCGTGAGCGCCCAGGTGTCTTTTGTCATAAAACCAATAGAATCCATCTCAAAATAAACTGAAACCAGAAAAGGACACGCAGAAAGCCCCACCATTTTTTCTGCTGAACACAAAAAAAACACAAAAACAACCAAGCACCAAAACACCAGACACCCCACAGCTTGGGGAGATCCGAGTGAACCGCCTCACCCATCTAGGAGAGGCTTTCCCGGCCCCCGGTTTAAACCGGCCCCGTGTTCTCAAACCGTTTCGGCGAGCGTCCTCCGGACATCTGCAAAGGCACACGCCGTCCCCGCCGGAGGCGTCCCGAGGCTTCAGCACCACAGTCCCGTGGAGCGCCAAGAAGGCGCAGGCGGCGGACGCCTCCGCCGTGACCTGAGGTCAGCCGCTTCGGGCGTTGGGGCCCCGTTTGGAGGACACCAGATGAGTCATAAGCAAAACCCGGTATTAAAATGGTCTACGAACCATGTAAGGAATTAAGGCTGCAGCCATGTATGGTTGGGATTGTCCCATACTAACCTTCATCTACCCGGGTTTTGATTGTGGCTCAAATGGAAACCACAAAACAAACATGAGGAACCCCTCCAGTTTTGGGCAAACTGTGGGTCTGAGTGGTCGATTTCCCTTCAAGAGGGCGGTCGAGTTGCTTTGCCGAAGTCCAGTGCCTGCCATTCGATTTACCGTGCGTCAAATAATGTGGGGGTACCCTTTGATTTCCGGAGAGCAACTCGGTTCCCGTGGTTTGGCCAAGGAAGCACAAGCTTGAGGAGTGAAGAGCCCAGACCGATGTCTTCTCTCCTCACAGTCCCTGCGGAAGAAGGCCACAACGAATCCGAAGCAGAGTAGACGATCAAGGCCCGAAGAGCGCTGCGTCTAGACATACGGACCGAAGCAAAAGTCCCCATCCCCCTGGCAACCCGGACTTTCTTGGCACCCACATCAAACAAACTTTGGGCCTGGTATGACCTTTTTGGCAAACACGAATCACGGCGAACTAAGCTCCCCGCAATCTGCTCTGGAGCCGGCAGGCCGACGCGGTGCAGCACTGCCTCGCGCGCGATGGCCCAGGCTCGGCTCCGGTGCCGGTGGGTTTGGGCTAGCCGGAGACACCTCCAAATGCTTGGTGCATGCTCAACTATACCTTGGAGAGGTGTCCCTACGTGGTTCTGCAAATGGGTTGGAACCCCCAAATGCGTGGTGAGTCAACCTCAAACCTAGGATTTGAGTAGAATCGCTTGGCATCATTGCAAAGGCAAAGATATTTGATGTAGTTGACCCGTCATTTGTGGTTTTCCTTCGCTTTCCCTTCTCACAACCCCAAAACGGTTCAGTGAAAAGAAGGCACCTAAGTTGACCCCAACAAGAATACTTCCTTCATTTTTTTAGCAGGTCCGTCCCCCCCTGCTTCCCCGGAACGAGCAACACATCTTCACCAATGGTCCCAGCCTTGTTTGCAAACAACAGTCTCAAGTTAAAAACAAGAGTCTCAAGTTGGACGAGCAAAAGCCCGAAACCCCACGGCACCTGCCTCCAAGCACCCCACCCCCCACCCCACCCCACCCCCGGCTCTCTGCCTGTTGCAGGAACTTGTCGCGGCGCAGGCTCGAGGTCTCTGGGCGGTTGAAGCCGACGCCCAGCCGGGCGTTCATCTCATCCGCCAGGGCCACGGCGCAGTCAACGAAGGGCACCACGCCTCAGCCGAGGCGAGTCTGGGCAAGTGCCGGTCCGACCGTACCAATGGACGAAATCCGTTCGCGCCACTTGGAAACCATGGTTGAAACCACTGCTTACCGGTATTTACAGGGGAATCGTATTATTCCAGGGTTTTTGAACGTGGATTGGGTCCACCCACAATTCACCTGTCCCTGCATTCCCCCTGAACATGATCATTGTACCATTGTATTCCTTTTGTCCACTGTACCCTTGTTGCCCTTTGGGAATGGGTGCGCTTCACCATGACAAAATGGATAACACCTGCCAAGGGCACCTTAGGCAAAGGGCCCACCATTGTAACCAACCGACACTCTTCTATACATCACCGAGCCGAAGATCGCAAAAAGGCATGGCCCAACAAGTGGCTTTCAAACCAGCGTGGAAGTATCGAGAGCCATCATGGTAGACTTTCTGTGACTCCGCCTTTTGGATTGAGAATCAAAGGTTGCCCAAGTGCGACTTTGGGAAATTTCAGAAACAGTACCACCCCCTCAAGGGGCATTACCTGACCTCAAAAGGTGTGATAGACTTGGCTCTCAGGGAATGAGCGAATGGGCACCCCTCAATCATCCCTGGTGGTTTCCTTACAGGCATCTCCTTCCGGTTCATGCCCAAACTCCCTCTTGATGGCCCACTGAGAACCAGCAAGTATGTGGAGTCTTGGGACTTGACCTGACTGTTTTTCAGGGAGAGTTGTTCATGGTCTCGGTTTAAGAGTTGATCCCCAGCCAAGCCTTAGGTATCTTTAAGAGCGACCACAGAATCCTAAAAGCGACTGCACTGCCACTGCCCTGAGAACAGCTCTTTCAAGTGTTGATGACTGGTCTTCTGAGAAGGACTTAGGATGAAAGGGGTCTGAAAACCCCTTCCGGGAGGAGAGTCCTGATCGGAAGAAGCATTCTTGCCAAGCCCCTGGTATGTTGGCGGCAAACCACTTACTTTGCAGCCAGGAGGAACGACAGAACCAACCAACTCAACCCTTTCTGTTCCTCTCGTACTGACCTCGATGGCTGTCGCAGACTGTAAAAAAAAGGGCTTCGCCTCTTAGCCACGGCGCCTCGGGCGAGGATATGCTGGGCATCCAGCAGGTCCGCAATGTCGTCGGCGCTGCGAGTGGCACAGTGGGGATGCAAGATCGCCTGAGTCGAATAATCGAAGGCTCAAGGAGTCGATACAGAGCAGAGCTGTGGGCTTCCCAAAGACAAACCTGCCATATTTAACGGGTAGATTCCCTTCACAGAATTCGTGCTGAACCCCTTGATCACACAACTCTGATACAGAGCCATGCTGCAAATCCCATTGCAGCCCCGTTTACCATAGTTAGTGACTCATGCTGAATAGCGGATTCGAACGGTGAAATAGGAGTCGGGACTGTTGAGCTGTGAAATAAATATACATGCACATATAGGGCATAGGGATTGATTTTGTGGTCCAAGTGGCACGAGCTGATGTCAGTTGCTGTTGGGGGCCCGATGCTAGCTTAATGTCACATCTTGAGATTGGCCAGGGTTTTGGGCGCCCTCGTGCCAGCGGTTTTGAATGTATGTCCCTGAATTTGTCACGATCGATTGCTAGGAGGGTTGTGCTGCAGATGGTCAGTCCTCCAAAGAAGTAGCATCCACACGCAAAAGGAGGCCCGGCTCAAAAGTTCGTAGGATGCTGGGTAACTTCTGAGGTCGATTTTTTGACCAACATGTCCAATGTGGGGGATGCACTTGCTGCAAGCCCCATTCAATGGTTGCACGTCAGGTTCTTGAGCACAAGGGGTACACTTATATGCCCAGCAAAATAGCTCTGGGACTTCGCACCCAAGAAGAACATGTACTTGCTAGTACAAGCTTTGCTGCTATCAAAACCTACGCGATTGCCACCAATCGGAGACCATGCCTTGGCAACCAAATCAAGCTGTCAAGTCAAGGACAGACAAATGGAGAGACAAGTGGGTTTTGACAACACCAAAGGATATGCCTTCCCTTGCAAAGGGAGCACTTCCAATGGCGTGAAACCCCCTCTTCAATGAGTCCCATTGTGTTCAACCAAGGGTGACCAGCCAGCATCTATGGAACTCCAAAACCGAGGAAATCTCTAAGAGTAAAAGTACATACCCCAAAAGTACATACCCCAAAATAATGGAACCACCTTCTCGGGGTAGGGATGTGTGCTTGCCACTTTCACTGTTAGCCTATGCCAGGCGCTACTCGTGATGGTTTGTGTTCAGCCCCGGGATGGCAAAAGCAGTGTGGGCAGAACAACGCGCAGGTGATGCCCCAGATTTCGTATTTTGAGACCGGTGCTGAGGAACCCTGGACAAACGCCCACCGGGGCCGCAGAGTGCATACCCCAAATTTCTTCAATTTCTCCCGGGCCGGGAAAACACAGCATACCGTGGGGAAAAAAGTACATACCCCAAAATCGTTGGTTATGGGTGCGTCCTTCGTTCTGGGGCTCCTTTTTTGGGGTATGTGGGGGGGTTGTGGGTCTTGGGGTAGCTTTTTGGTCATTGGGGTGGGGTTGGCGGGGAATTCGGGGGAGGGATGCCGGGTGATTTCGGGAGAGTTTTGGGGGCCAGGGGCTTCGGGGGGTGGAAAAGGGAAATCCGGTGCCAAGAAACGCAGGTGCAAGTGAAAATGAGGCACGCTGCCTTTGCAACATTGTATAACCCCTATATAACCACTCTATAGTCAACTTTTTTGGGGTATGTGATTTCGGGGTATGTAGAAAAACCCTTAGAAAATCGCTGGTCTTCTGAAAACGACACGGCGGACAAATACCCTGTCCCCGGGAAGGCGCCAACAAGACAGAACATTGATGGGAAACCATCATCTGGCTGGTGATCGGACACCTTGCCAGTTCAGCGGGTAAATGGTCGTCCATGCTATCCGCCCCAAACTTCCGCAAAATCCCAACTCCGATCCACGGCGCCACCCGGTGCCGAAGCTTGGCGAAGGCCCTATCCACCGCCAGGAACTTGGGGCGGTAGCCGCAGACGATGACCGGCACACGCCTCACGCGAGTGAAAAGCGTGAGGCTGCGACACCTGGAAGTGTCTCCTGTTTCCAGGTGGTTTCGGAAGGAAATGCCAAAGGAAACCAAAGGGAAACCACACACATGAGAATTCCCCCCTTGAAACAAACGTATGTCTTGCGTCTAGGTGTCTGGGAATTCACTTAAAGGTGAACCACCCGAGGGCTGAGTTTTGTCTTTCAAGGGGAACAGGTTCAAGCGGAAGCAAGGGAAACGCAGGTTTGGATTTTGTGTTGGGACCTCGAGGCAAGGCCAAAGCACCGCAACACTTGTGCGATTCACCTCCCCTGGCCTGCAGTGGCCAATATGGGGGTGTCCAACATGTTGGAGCCCAACAAAGAGTCCACATCTCCCTCACGGCTTGAAACAAATCGTGTAAGTTTACCCAGCTCAACCAAATCCGGCAATGAGGCTGAGGTGATGCTGCTCTGTTCTGCAAATGGCCACGGAGCAGCAGCCGTATGTGCGAAGGCCATCGAACTCTTGTGGCTACCCTTACAACAAAACTCCGTCCAAGAAATCAAAGACGAAGGCCAGAAGACTTGCCGTTCTCATGTGTAAATGATGCCCGGGTGAAGCGGAACAGACTGCGAACTTCACCCGGCCTCAAGGTGAGCCCCTGCAATCTGCGCTGCGCCTTGGCTGGAGGACAAAGATACAGCTCTCCAGAGTGCTGCTTCACAATTGGAGCACCTTGCTGAAAGAATCCTGTGTCCTGTTTTGTGCTGGGTTCCATAGCCCAAGGAAAAAACCAACCTAGAGATGATCATCTAACTTAGGACTTAGGCCCAAAGGCAAAGGCTGAAATGCTCGCCGTTTCATAGGTACAGATTAACATTCGAGTATCGCAACAGTTCTGAAGAGAGGGGATAAGGGGGAGGAGGAATTCCCACTGTTCGAGGAACCAAACATGTCTCGAATCCTGCTGCAGGTTCGAAACTTCTTTTCTCCGTCTCGATCTCGCTCTGTCATAGGTGTCCCTATTGCGCGGGCATGGAGCACGCTGAGAATGTCCTAATTACTGCATTCCAGGCTAGGAAGGAAAGGTTTGGTTCTATTTTAGCGATTGGTGATGTTTTGTTGGGGGCACCCCGCGATTGGTTTGGTGCATGCGGATCTGATGCCGCACGGCCGGCGAACTCCTCAAAGCCTTTGACTCCAAACCCACCCCGCTGGGAGGCTGCTCGAGCCTGACCTAAGTCAAAACTCCTTATATGAGCCATGGTCTTTGATTGCATGTCGAGCGTGATCGAGGGCACTTTGGCCCGACCGAGAAGTACATCAAAGGATGAGCAGCCATAGTCATGGCTCCCTTAATAGAACCCTGATGATGGTTGTCCAAGCTCCCGATTCAAGGCTTGACAGCCATCCTTAGAATCCCCTTAACATGCCAACTGATAAGAAGGAACGTGTCAAAACAAAGAGCCTCTTTCGAGGGTTGTTGATGTTTGTTTGCTTCTTAAACCGCCCCCAACTTTGGCACACAGCCAAGAGCGCATTCTCCGAAAAGGCCCGAAGATGTTCCAGGGTTAAGGACAGACCAAAAACACTGACTTCCCGAGTGGACTGGCCAAGATCTTGCCGCTTCCTGACTGAGTGGATCTTAGATGTCAAAAAAAGCAGGGAACACAACTGAATGCCTGAACCAAACTAGCTTTTCAGAAAAATACAAAGTTTCTTAGGAACTCGGGGAGTGAGAACCGCCGAGAAAAGGGACCCCTCCAACCAACCGAGACGCAGCGCGGATGAGGAAGCGCGCCACCAGCCGGTCCGGAGATTCGGACTCGGAGCCGCCAGGGCAAAACTCCGCCCAAATCTTCCGGTACCTGAGAGGTGCGCTGAGCCGATCGACTTGGGGCCTCTACAAACATGGGCATAAATCAAGCTACAAAGCTTTGCTGTAGAAAAAGGCTTGGCGCTGAAGTGGCTTGCTGGAGCTCAAAAGGAATCCTAGATTTGGGATTTCCAACAAGGTAGGTACCCGCCAGTGCCCGGTGCCTGAGGCTCAGGGGCTGCCTCCCTTGTTTGGCGGAAGGAGTTCAGGGCTTTGACTGGCTCGTTGTGAACATGCATGAACATGCTGTGTTTTCCCATGACGTTCCGTTCGCGGGCGCGTAGAAACCGTTTTCATGTGCAGTCGACACTCCGCAAAAGGATCCAACTAACGGACTCCGTATCACATCGCAACTCACATTCATCTAAACGGGTTGATCAACATCCAAACCCCACGCAACCATGTCGGAACTGGGTATTCGTTTGATGGCCACTCCTCAAATGATTCAGGCGCACAAACGAAACCGCCAGAGGCTCGGAAGGGGGCGTATTGAATGCCCGGCGAGAAAGCCTTGGTAAGCCTTGATGAGGCGTGGTAGGCCTTGGGACTTAGGTGGGTGGGCCATACTGCAAGGGAGGACTGAGTGGGACAAAACCCGACACATGAGACATCTAGCCTTGGCGTCTTTGGGCTTACTAAAACAAGTAGGTCTTGCATTTGGTCTTAGCTTTACATGTCATGTTGGACGCGTTTGAAAGGGAACCTAGATAATTCGCTCAGGTCCCAGCTTTTGAAGACATGACGACCGGGCAGCTCATTGCCAGGGCACTTTTCATCTCTCATGGATGGCAAAGCCGTGCCACCAGCAGCAGGAAATTTGATCGCCCGCCTCCATTAAAGCTGTGGTCTGATCCAAGCTGTCGCGGCAAGTGGTTTACATGCGCGTGAAGTCTGCACACATCTGCATCCAGAATGCACGCCCAAACTCAACGCAACCCCCCAACATCCCCAATCCTACTCTCAAGCAGGGACCCCATCGATTGCTACGAGAGTGAAGGAGGCGATTCCTGGCAATCTGGAATCTCCATGACCCCTTTCAAATACTGTAACCCATGATTGTAACTCTAGGGTAACCCCATGTACGGTTTGAGTGTACGCATAGATGGGGCTCCCTTTCAGCCTTCGGCCGGTCCTGGGAGCCGGGGCCCGAGAGATTGAAGGGGATCCGTCGACCTATGGCCTTCATCTCAATCTTTTCGGAGATCCTTCGCCGACATCGATCCCGAGGCGTCTTTGGACCCGAACCCTCCCGTTGCTTGCTTGCTTGCTTGCTTGCTTGCTTGCTTGTTTGGTTGGTTGCTTGGTCTTAAACTAGCCGTTTGGTTGGTTAGTCCCCGGTGTATTTTCTTATTGTACAAAACCCAAATGGGCTTCTCGAATGAATTTCGGGCAAACTAAAGCCGGGGAGAGTTTCTCAAAAATGGATTTCGGATCCCTTTGGGGTGGATAAAGGAAAACCAAAAGGGAACCAGCTGAATTTAGGGTGCCGATTCCTTTTGAGAAACACCCAGTTGCCCAGTTGCCATCCTGGGTCAAAGGGTCATTTAAGCTGGACTTTCCAAACAGCATCCTCCTGAGGGGCGCAAGGTCATTCGCTAGATGTCCACCCACAACTTGCACCCTTCTTGGAAACCTCTCCAAATGGCCTACAGAAGCAGGGTGATGCTTTCAAAAGAGCACATGCAGAGATCCCTGCTGCCACTGCTTTCAAACCTGCCCGGAGGGATCCGACAGGTGTCAAATCGAGAACCAGCTGCCAGCCTCTCGAGGGGTCATCAGGCCCCCCACCAGAGACGGAAAGGGAGGTCCCAGCGCTCTATTCTGAACCGGTCGGCGGGAAATTGGGGAACCAAGCTTGCATTTACATGAGAGCGCCAGCTGCCGTCAGAAAAGCCCCGAGTCAAACATATGCTTGAAGGGCAAGTGATGAAGAATGGTATGGTAGGAGAAAACAAAGATCTTCAGCCAATTAGACCACAACCCGCTAGTTCTAGCACACCAAGATATGAGAGAACCGATTGGTCTCATCCTCCAAAGTTGACCCCACGGGACCTGGTGAGCTGAGGGTGAATCCTTCCAGAACCAGAACTTGGGTCAAGGAAACGGCAGGCTTGTTGGGTTTACCTTTGACACCCTCTTGGGTTGAACAAACAAGCCCTAAAATGCAGACCCATCGGTCGAGCAACAAGCAGTGCCGTCTCACTTCCTCAGTGGATTGGCAAGCAACACCCAAACCGATAGTCGCGAAGTGAGCAAGGTAGGAACCAAAACGCTGGGGGCACTGGGTCGACTGGAAAAGCAGGCTTTCATGCCAGCTCCCTCAGCAAATCACCGGGGAGCAAATCACCGGGAATGGAATGCTCTGCTTGACAATCGATCAGATATTCCGCATCTTCCCAACTGGCTTAATGCAATGCTTCTCCTTCCCATCAGCCCCTGCTGTTTCTCGCCCCCAGTTCCAACAGTAATGCCATCCTGCCGGCGCCATCATCCAAGCTGAGGATGACCCGCCCTGGCGACAACCCAATACACCCTTGCAGCACACTGATGAATGCTATACATCGGGGGTTTCAGGGAGCAGTTTCAGTTTCTTGTTCTGCTTTTTTGACGCTCTTGCCGGGGCCAACATTACCCACATGCAACACATGAAGTCTGTCACCAATGTTTCCCGTGGCAATTAAGACTTCAGCATTTGCGCGGCATGGCCTGAAAAAGAGATCCTCACAACAGTCGCGCTCAATGCCTAGGAAAGGGAAGAGGGCTGCCCTCCTTGATCTCAAGCTTGCCGAATGGAAAATGGTGGCCTTGAGGCACAAGAAATGGGGGGGGAGATCTTGAGTCATTGAGAGCAATCAGGACACGTAGACAGAGGTGCGCTGGCGTTGAGAGTCGGATGCTATGCAAAGGCCCTGCATTTCCATCCCCGACTCAGCTCATGAAGGCGGGCTTAGGGGGCTCTCCTTCGGCTCAGGAGCAAAACGGCCAGCCAAAGCTTGAACGATTCGCATTCCAAAACAGCGGGTTTTAGTTGTTTCCATTTAGCGGGGTTCCATTGTGCTACCTATGTTTGACCCACACCACACATATTGAAACCAAAGCAATGCTCTACCCAAGAAGTCTTCTTTGACTTATCTCAGGGCAATCCTGTTTGACCTGAGCTGAGGAACGGCTGCTTCGCATAGCGCAAGTCAACAGCACACAAACCACATCAAACATCCAGCGGTCAGCAGACGGCGCGCCTAGCGGCGAAGCGCCAATCGCCCCAATCACCTGTCCAGGTCATGTCGCAAGGCTAGGAAAACAATCCACACATAATATAATATTGCCGTGGGATGCATCGCTTGAAAACCGCGTGTAGCAAAGGACGTTCATGGTCGTTCCTGCCCTCCATGTACCCGGCCAACTTGGCTGTTGGAAAGAAAGGTGTTGCTGCATTGACTGGCCATTGTGAAGCAGCGGCGTTAGGCCCCGTACGACTCCCAGCAGTGCCAGCTGGCTGCACCCCGGTGCCTCTCTTCTTTGGGAGATGCGGAAGAGGAAGTCGGCGAAAATGATGCACTGCCAGCGAAACTTGCTGGGGACCGGGTGTTGGGAATGACCCTAGGGATTCCCGTGAAAAAAAAAACAAGGGATGGTTATGGGTTCATTCCCTTGCTGAGAACCAGCAAGGAAAGCGAGGAGTCTCTTTCCATTGCCAAGTCCTATGTATTGCAAGACTCCCGGGAACGGAAAATATTACTTGATGGGTTGGGTATTCGCCTGTGGCACGTTTTGTGGGAATTGTGGGAACAAAGGGGACCGGGCCATCCCCGGGTGTGAACTGACAAACGGCAAACTGCCACTGACTCTTTTGCCCGTCACTCAGACTCATATCTCAAAGCTGCAGTTAAAGAATAAGTTGCGGGAACAAGTCAGCCGCGCGGGATGTGCTTTGTGACCCAAGATGAGCTGAACAAAAATTGGTGGCCCAGCCTGTTTGCAAACACAATAGCCCTGTCTCACCTTGCCTCTAGCGCTCCGCCAATCCAGGAGGTGTAGTCGTGGTAGGCGCCGTGCCACACGTAGCGCTGGCGACAAAACCGCCCGAGTCGCGCCAAAGCACAGCTTGACTCACTTCGCAACTCAGGCGCATGGCAGGTGACGCTGACCAAACACAGGCGGTTTTGTGTTTTGCTATTTTCTTCTTTTGTTTCGGCGGGGGGCTCGTTTTTCTTTTGAGAAGGGGGCGTTTGATTGGATGGTTTGAAACTTCGACTTTGGTGTTCCTTTGAACCATCCCAAACGCGGGATAGCTAGGCGTGCCATGAGCATGGCGGCCTTGTAGATCCAATTGCACACGTAGAGGGTCCTGACATACGGAACACGTCTGTGATGATTTCTGGCTGAGGTCCCAGGTTCCCAAGACCTTCAGTCCCTGCTCTTACTTCATGCCTCTCCGGCAAGGACTCCTCAGGTAAGGAACGTTTGTCGTGGGTGAGGTCAGCTGCCCTTTGTGAGGCAATACGTTGCCCAAATGCAGGGAACAAATGCGCCAGACTCAAACCTCTGCCAAAGACTATAGTCATGGCTCCCAACTTAAACAACTGATGATGGTCAAATGCATGTGATACCGCCACCAAGGGCTTGATGACATGATGGCATTTCCGCATGCAACTCCATGGAGTCCCGCTAAAATTCACCCGAATTTGGTGTCCTGTTCTGACGAGGAGGCAAAGTGGCTGCAAGTGGACACCGAACTCCCGCATGCAAAGTCCCTCACTGGGGGGGGAAGGGGATACCCACAAGTTCAGTCGAGTGATCTTCAATAAACCAACCCCTGCAACCCTCAAAGGGAGAAAACACTCCAGCTTGATGCATACTCTGTCTTATGCCGTCCTACAGCACACTATGGATGAAGCGCTCGCGTCAGGGCCGGAAGCAGCATCCCCATAGTGCAAATGATGGTGATGATGCAGAACATGGTGCCTCTCCACCCGCTTCGCTCGCCTAAGATTACTTACCTGTCCTAACTAATTAAATTAACCAACCAGACCTACGGAGGAAAAACAAAACGAAAAACACGCCGCATCTAGCTCGATACGTTTTAGTAAATAATTAACGGACATAAAGGACACACATACATACGTACCCACAGATTGCGATCTCGGAGTCGACGTCCTGTAACCTCCCACCGCCAGGACGTAGATCACAGCTGCGGGTCTCACGCGTGTCGCCTGCCATGAGCTCACAATGAGCTCACATGTTCAATCCATGTCACGCCTTCCCCCACCGCAGCCGTTGCCCTTACCCCACCCTCCAATTGGATTGAGCCATACATACATATATATATATATAGTATATAGTGTATAGTGTATACTATATATATATATATATATTGTAACATCTATATAATATATACATTATTTATGTTGTTGCTTCATTCACCAGTGGCCTCTCCTTCAACCGACCAAGACCAATTCAGCGCCCTTTCCGCTCGCGCCCGGTAGCACATGATGTACTGCGGGATCAGCGCCAAGGGCTCCAGGAGCTCAGAGAAGGTCCAGGCCTCCTACCGATTTCGAGTTCCCCGCGCGAAACCCCGCGGCTTTTCTTTCCCCCCCCCAGCCGAGTTCTGAGCTTTTTCGGGAAAGAAGCCCTCCGAGGTCCATGGATTTGTCCGCACAAACCAAGAGAAGAGGGGGGGAGTTCGGTGGGTTTTGTTGACCAAGCAGAAGAAACAGCTCTCGTGCCATACCGTACCTCTACCTAGGCCCCGACAAAAGCCCACAACTCCTACGCCAGCCAGTCATGGTTGTGAAGACTAACCCCTTTTGTGATACTAATGTGGCCAGAAAAGCACAGGCGTGCCTCTGGGCAACTCATTTCCCACTCCTGACCCCAGCGCAGGTATCAAGCGTGGAAGCCGATAGAATTTCGGCGCGATCCCATTTCGGTGTGTGTTTTGTCAGGGTTGCATTGCACGTTCAAAAAAGGACGGCAAAAGAACAACGCCATGAGGATTTTCCGGGGGCGTGGGTCCCCTGTGTCACGGCATGCCAATTTCTCAGGCGGGGCGCCGGTGCCCTGCCTCCCGCAAACCTTCACCCCCACTGAGAAAGGCGATGATTGCGGTCGGCAGCACCAAAGCGAGGAGATTGCACCTGGCAGGATCCTGAAATTGGAAAAGACCATTTTATATGGGCGTGGGTCAAAAATAGGTTCCCAAATGGAACCTTGGTAAATGAGCCTGACGGTTGAATTTTGACCCATGCCCACATGCTCCACAGGGAAACTTGAGGGAGTTGGCTGGACCAACACTGGCCTCAAGATTTTCTACCTTCAAAGTCACCCAAATGGAATGCTAGCAAATGACCGCTCTTCTGACGTTAGCAACGCCTGACCAAAATCGCGGTCTCGGCAACGCATGCAGGTCTCCCAACATCGGGTGTCCATAGGCTTGCTGCTAAATGGTAAACCATGCAGGACAATGTCAAGAAATTATCAGGGATCGAATGCCCATTGTTGAAACACCCACATTGGGGGAAGGTTACCATTTTGGAGATCAACGGAGCGCCGGAACTTGTAATATTCCCGGCGGCAACACAGCCGTACATATGGGGTGTTTGTTTTAAAGCCAGGGGCGTCGTATTTTCAACTCCTCATATACATGGTTGTTGAGTTTATCCCCCGCAAGCATGTCAACCTACCGCTTGAAGGGATCCGTGGCTGAAAGTGGCTCACTTGGCAAGGCAATCGAGGTCCATCTTGCTTCATTCAGGGGCCCTTTCTGTCGGGGTGTGTTACAATTAGAAAAGGTCAACGCTCAACAATGTGGAGGGTGTTTAAAGGGATATCCGAAGGAAGCCTTTCGTTTTGCGGGGTGCCCTATTTTGTTTTTGGACACAAACCCAGTTTCCTTCGATTCATCGACTTTAACGCTGGATGAATGCTCAGTTGATCGTGTGAATATAGAAATACATATTTATAAAACATGTCTTCCCCTGGTCCCATGTTGAAGGGGAAACCGTCTGGCAGGTTGATGAATCTGGGGAGGCTCTCCCGAAAGTTGACAGCTGAAGCGCACAAATCCCTCATAATAGGGGTCCTTGTTCTCACTTCCCGTTTGGCCCCAAAACATCAAATTCTGTGGTCCAGCTTGCATCATGAACTTTCCACAAAACTAGTCCAAAAGACTGGGAGATTTATCCATGAAGATTAGGGAACCCTTGTGCTGGGCCTTTAAGAGAAGGCCTGTCAATCTGGAAAGGCAGGTGTTTACTTGTCACACGGAGTTTGTGACGCCCCTCCGGCCCCCCAAAGTGTCCAAGGCCCCCTGCGAGTCCGCCGCAGAGTCGTAGGTGATGTGGAGCTTGTGGAAGCACCAAAGCATGAAGGCCTCAGGCCGAAGTGCTGCAATCTTATTTACGGTCCGTCGACCGTATATATTTCATATCGTTTCAAAAACAGCAACGCAAAACTCAGCTTCTGCGGGGCATAAGCTTTCACCAGTTGACAGGGCCCAGTGTCACACTGCCATTGCTCAACTGGCGCGATGGGGCCGCGGCCGTGATCAAGTTGAAGCTGATCTCAGCACGAGGGAACTGGCCAAACTCTCAGGGAGTAAGACCTCGAAGTGAGGCTTCCGCCTTCAAAAAACATATTTCCTAGAAATCCGATTTTGACCCAACCCCCTTCATGGACTCCTTGCCAGCTCTGCCAGATTTACTGTTTTATAGTGTTGGTCGGACTCAAAATGTTGTTTGCACCCACCGTGTCCGGCGTCAAATAGCACACCCCGACGACCTTGCGACGTCCCGTCCTTGAAGAAGAGCAAATAAGAGCCCTGGCGTTGCCTCAGCTGAGGCAACCGGCTGCTGGTTTGTGCTTCACAAATGTGATCTCCATTGCTCATGGCAAACAAGCGCGTTTTGGGATTCTGATTTCAAATGGGGTTGCCTTCCAAGGGCGGCCTGAGGCATTCCAACTACCAGTCATCACTCTCGGTCTGAGCCTCGGCACGCATGGTTGAAACAACCTGAGGGATGTGCGTGAAGATGTCCAGGTATCTCGACAGAAAAACCGCTTGGAAGAGTACCTCACATGCGATGTTTCAAGAAGCGGGGATGGGGTGGGCGCCACCCTCCGCGTGAAACTATTGAGGTGGGGCCATGCGAGACAGGGAAAGACTGGTGTGTCAAGGTCAAACCTCCACTTGATATGGTGGTTCCTTTCATGGAAGCCCCTGACCGGTTGAACGGCTTGTCAGGAGATATGTTTGAACTTACCATCACCAAAGGGCACCAGCCTTTTAACAGTCCCGGGAAGGTGCTCCGCAAGGGGTTGAAGGGAAGATACGGGTGTCCTTCTTGAGGGTATTTATGGGTGCCCTTTTGAATTGTGGTCAATCAACACCTTCCGGAAAACCATGGAAGCCACGTTGGAGGTTTTTCAAAAGGGAGGAAACACATTCAAAATGGAAAACGATGGAAAAGCGGTTTGGGGGTCAAATATTGAAAACCCTGAATATGGACCCCATGTCAAGACACACTATGAGGAACCGCTCCACGCGGATGTCCCTGCCCCCCGCCTGGGTCTTCCTGGAGAAGCCCGCGACGGTTCCTAAGCTGCATGGGGAACACCAGTGTGTGGCACGTCCAACGGGATCCCCCGAATTGGGCCCCAAAATCAAAAAGTGCTGTTTGTTCTTTTGGTCTCGCTTTCAAGACCCAAAAAAGGTACCCTCACAAAGACACCAATTGAAAAGGCACCCAGAAAAAAGCCGGGAAAATCGGGAAGGACAAGCTGGGTCCCTTGTAGGTGCGGTTGCCACGAGCCTTGCGCCCTGCCATGGTTGGCAGCAGGTTCGCAGGCTTTTGGTTCCCAGGCCTTTCAAGAGGTCACATCCACACACACCGAGTCCCAGTCGTTTTCGCGCCTGTCAAAAGGTGCCCTTTGGGTTGCCCCAAAAACGTCCTGAAGGCGTGCGTTTTGACATGTACCCATGTCCAGACGTGATCGTCGAGTCCTCAGGACCCTGCTGGAAGACAGGATTGCGGCCAAGCCGAATCCCATGCCTGGCGAATTTCCCCGAATTCGATCAGATCCGAAGGACCCACACCTTGTGGTTGCGGGGGTCTGCGTTTGAGAGGGAAGCCACAAGACATCAGCCCGTTTTGAGTGGCCCCTATTGCACCCGTTCGGATATGCACTGCAATCTCGAGGCTGCGTTGAAGTGAAACTGGGAAACCATGGTCATGGGCTTGCTGCAAAACCCATGCTTGGAGGGGTGATCATTTTTGCGAGATTTTTCCCGGCCATGGACCTGCTTACTTTGCTTTTTGCGCTTTGGTGTTCCAGGGACTTTGAAAAAGAGGCCCTCCTTTATTGTCCTTGTAGTTTCAACGGGAGGCTCAGTTAGCGACTTGCTTTTGAGGGTTCTGGGAGATCAAGGGTAGTTATGGTGACCCGCACATCAGTTTGGTGCTTTGACTGGACCGGGAAACAAATCTTGCGTACTTGGGCTCGGATGGCAGCCTGTGCCGCTGTTTGAAGGGACACCCCAGGGAAGCCGACCTTTTTGAGAGCTGGAGATAAACATTTCAAACCATGACAAACCCGCAAGACGATTTCATTCGAGGCACTCCTCCCAATAGGCAAATCCGACTCCGAGCCGAGCTGCCCGTAGGTTGCATCTTGGGCGTTCCACCAACTTAACTTCAAAGTTGGGAGTTACTGGTAGGTTTCGATTGGACTCATGCCGCTGAAATGGATATGACCTTGCTTTCTTCTTAAACCCGACTACCATAAGAAGTGCCCAACCAACACAAGGCATGGCCAAGGCCAATCGGTTGGAACAAAGCCAAAGCTGGGCTTCACAACCTCAGCGAACGGACGGAAAACCGGGGGGGGGGGGGGAGCGGTAAAGCCCACCTGCAAGGTGCAAGAAGTCTGCCAGGAGCCGAAAGACCTGGCGATGGACCCCCCGACCATGCTCCAAACTTGATGATAATTGCAAAACTTGAAATTCTTTATGGTGAGGCCTATATCATGTGAGGCCTGCATCATGACAAGGCCTACATCATTGCAATATCTCAAACCTAAGTGAAAGGCCTACATCATGGCGAGCTCCTGACAAACCCCCAGCTCACCAGAAAACACACAGAACCCATAATGTCTGCAGTCGACGGAAGCTAATAGGAGGTTTTGGAAGATTCCCGCCTTCGGATTGTTGGAAAAAGGGCACCATGAGCCCCATGGGCGATGGGGGACCTGGCCCTACTTCCGCAACAGTGGGATGTGGGTAAACTTTACAGCCAGGTTGACATTGCAAGTTGTATGGGAAAGAGATGGTCCTTTTAAAGTCCTTCATGACCACCTCATATGGCCCCCGTGTTAGTCGCTACTAGTCACAAGGCTCTCACCACTAGAAGGCTCTTTTTTGTCTCAAGCTTGGGTGCAGAACTCGCAAATTCCCGCGGAATCGCGAACCCCGACAGTTCAACGCTGACAGGGTTCATTGTAATATGCCCCCTCACCCATGAAAGACAACTCATTTCGACATGCCAACCCAAAGGCGATGCTGAAATAGCCACAGGATCACTGGGTGACAACACAAAGACATGTGACCCACACACACACACACACACACACACACACACACACACACACACACACACACACACACACACGCACCCACACACACACACAGTAAAAGACGAAAATAATGGCTTCTTGTGTGTTGCAAACAACCGCAAGAGGGTCCGTGAACAACAACACACCCTGAGCTTCCAAGTACTGTTTGGTACTTGGAAGCGTCGAACCGAGTCAAAGCTCAAGGACTTGGACTTCCGAGACAAAGGCACAATTCACCAAGCGAGGCGGCGCGCATTCCAACTCACCGTGTCCATGAGGCCAGCCTGTGGCACGCGTCTCTAACTCTTTTGCGGGCCGGTTTTCAAAGCGGAGGCATGGCAACGTTGCCATGGGGCCCTTTTGACCCATGGACGTTCGATTGTACACAGCTTTTGGTTGTGCCTATCTATAGCCCTCGTACAACTTCGCAAACCCCTGAATACTAACAAAAAACACTGCCTTCAAGGCAAAACAAAATGCCACTTTTGACACAAGTGGAGCTACTGTTGTGAGCTGCATTTGCTAGGAATCCGCTGTTAGTCATGATAATATGACATGAATGATTCATAAAGCCAGAATCTACCGAAGATTACAACAGGCCGTTCGCTTATCAATCGCCCATCCAACCAGTCGCCTGCCTGCACTGTCTGCGCGGCCAGATCGGGCAGCAGCAAATCGAGCTTCTAAGTCGCAGCTTGTTTGATGTTTGGGTGAGGTTGATTGAGCTCATATGAACCTGGCTTCAGGACGGAAGTCAAGCTGCCTGTTGGGCATTTCCATACCACACACACGAAATGCGTGTGCCGGTTGTTCTTGTGGCTCGCAAGAAACATGCGCTGAATAGAAACGGGCACATGCATGATGAAGCACTGCGGCGCTCTCATGAAATCTGCTTGTGAGAAGTTGCCAATCTTGAGCCAACATGCTCCCTTCGGGGACAGAGGTGGGCCGCCATGAAACCGAAACAGAACCCGAAAAAGGGCAACCAAACTTGCGCGGCCCCATCAACTTTGCTTCTGCGCTGAATCTGAACTGGGTTGTCAAGGGCCCTCACAATCTCAAAATAAATTAGGTAGTGTTGGCTGTTCAAAGCGAAACGTGTCTAGAGGGTTCGTTTTGGGCCTCTTGGTGGATCCGTTCATCGAGGGCCCGCTACCAAACACTCAGCCGCTGTACTTTGCATGGTGGAAACCAGCTTCATTTGGGATCATTGCGCACTTGGCAGTGCCCTTTTGTGAGCGTCTGAGGAACCCACCAATTGTCGAACAACCGACTTCCTCCTGGTCTCCCTCTCAAACGCCATGAGGAAATTCGGGGGGTCGGACCCTCCTTCCCTTTGTCCGAACCCCGCTTTTCCACAGCCAAGCGAAGGTCTGGCGCAAGAGCTCCAGCGCCAAAGCAGCAGTGGCGGCCTGAGAACAGATCGCGCGATGGCGCGCACGCCCAGCGTGGATTGATTTTTGGGGGCTGCCCTCAGATCCCCTGCTAAAAGTGACCAACTTTTAGTGGGTTAAATCGAAATCACCACTAAACACGAAAAGGCTAAAAAGCTAAGGGGATGGCTGGGAGCCACCAAGTTTTGTTCGGGGATGGGGTGCAACAACAAGGTGCATCACGAGCAAATGGTTCCAGTGGAAAGGGGTGGAAAAGGGGGGATCCAACAGAAAGGCGACAAGCAAATGTTGCGGATCAAGGTTAAATGGCAATGATCAGGGACTAATTAAGTGGCAAACCTGGCAAAAGGAAACAACTCCCGTCATTCAACAAATCTCTCCATCTTCAGTCTCCTCAAAACATGACACAAGGATTCGAGAAAAAACAGGGCCTTTGGCTTAAGACCCAAGGCCCGGTGGCTGTTGACTCTACCAGAATGGTCACCAACAAACCGCCGGGGAAAAGTGAACCGGAAAACAAAAACAAAAAGCACACACACACACAAGAGGAGCTAGATATGCCCCATATGTTCATAAAGTCAGCTCCCGGGTGGTAAGCACAAACCATTCCTCTGGCGGCAACTTACTCCCCTGAAACCAAAGATAGAACCCAGCAGAAAATACACAAATGGGCCAAATAAGCGTTTCTGGACTATCGTGTGAGCCACGGTCAATTATGGGGTCACCATAAAGTGCCTGCAACAATGAATAGCTCCGGCTTTTGTGATTGAAATTTCGTGAATTCTCTCGTCACTTCCACATGGATAGACCACTGGACCCCTTATAGACACAGTTCTTTGGTGTTGTTTTGGTTATGGCGAGGCACCCTGACCAAACCTCAGTGAGTCTGCTCAGCAGGCGGTCCGGGCTGCTGGCCAATGCCATGAGCGCGGCCCACCACTCTCCACCTTCTGTACCTCGGGGTTGGACCATTCTGTCCCCTTCGTCCAGGGTCACTCGGGGCTTTTCCAACCACTTCTGTGCTGCAAGGGAATCTCTCCGTTTACATGGGAAGCCCTTTCTGTCGTTTTGTTGTATCACAGAAGTGGTCATTTCCCACAGCCCTACGAAGCCGTCGTCTGTCATTCCAATCCATCGATTCAGCACGGCTGGGGCGAGCGCTTGCAGCTCTGGGTGTGGGCGCTTGCCTGAGCAGAGGCAAGAAAGCAACCCTTGCAAGTCGGCCCATCTTGCTCACCGTCTTGGGAGTCCAAAATATTTTCCTTGGGACGGCAAGCCACGCCTTTTCACAAGGGGTTGCACCTGCTTGCCCAATTCAGCACTCCCGCCACAGGAAGCGTCCCTGAGAGCTCGCAGCGCTCAAATTATGCTTGTACCACAAGGCAGTGCAAGGCACGCGATCCATGTCTGGAAACAATCTCTCCGCGTTAAGAGCACGGCCCCAGCGAGAAGCGCTCGCAAGACGCGTTGCTTCCTCGAGGCACTTTGCGCTTTCATGAGAAAGGCTGACCGACGAAGATGTACAACTACCCTGAGCGGCTTTGGTCTTTGGTCTTTGGTCAATTGAAGCCACCTTTGGTCATTTGGGGCATGGGCCGCCCATCTGATTTCGAAGTGCGATTCGCCGTCATAAGTGCATCTCAGAGACCAAACCACATAGCCAGAACATAGCGTGGCCCGCCGATCGGTGGTACCTGGCCAGACTGAGCGATCGGATTCCCCAAAGGATCTGGAAACAAAAGGGGGCCTACAAATGATGCCAAGGTGGAAAACGAGCCAAAGGTCAATTCACTTCGTGCAACTGACCCCTCTTTCACCATGAATGCAACATCCACCCTCGACTCCTTGCCCCTTGCCCTCCCCAACCCCAACCCCGAAAAGAGCCGTCCCCCCCCCAACAATTCCACCCCCCCGGCCAGGGACATCCCCCGCCACCCCCAACCCCCCCACCAACCCCCAACCCCCCGTCCAAAGTCGAGCGCACCACGCGGTGCAGGTTCTCCAGCCCGGAGCTGAAAGCCAGCAGCCGGCCCTTGGCCGCCGCCAAAACCACCTCCGCGTCGCCTCAGCCCCAGGGTTGAGGAACGCCCGCCTGCGATCGAGGGGCCCAAAAACATCTGACACCACACCAGGGGGGTCCTTAAAAGTTTAGACACCATCTGCGGTTCGGAACAAAAGCACTCACCAAACTGAGAGCCATCCTGAAGCATTCCAGAAACTGCTCAAAACTTGCACCGCTCTGTGCAATCTATCCAGGCGCAGGATGAAGGCGAACGCGGCATTACGAGCAGCGAATTTGACTAATCCACCTAAACAAGCCAGCAACGGTGAACTGGACAAGAACAAATGCAGTTGCTCAATTCGCACCTGCAGATGTGTCAGAGCAATCATTGTAGAAGATCACATGCTTAGTTTGCGCCTTGTGTTTGCTTCGAGCCCTTTGGCCACGCACTCTTCAATCACTGTCGTCGTGTTTTTTAGGGTGCACTGCTAGTGCAACTCGTGTGATAGCTGGCATACGTCGAGCAAAGCGGCAGAACTGAAGGTCAAATCTTAATTCCCCCTCCCTCCCACTCAGCCCCCTCTTTGACTTTGAACGTTTCATTTTTGCTCCTTTCTTGCGTTGGAAATAAGGGGCCCCGGTTAACCCATTTTAGGGGGTGCCCTGACTCTGACAGGGGTCATATTTCCCACCCAGGCGTGGCACCTTTTGTGGGAGGCCCCTTTTAGATGGCCATTGAAAGCTTGATCCTTCAACTTTGGGAACATATTAGGCTCCGTGCGTGACGGAGCTTGGTCCTATCTTTAGGGGTCAAGTCTTGGGTCAGCCGGTCAAATTTCTCCCTCTGCGCCAAGACTCTGTCCATGAAGGCCAGCCTCACATGTCTCAAGGCTTGGAGAGAGCCAACCACTTAACCACTTGCAACAGCGCTGGACATAAAGCGGCACTCCTATGATATCTCACCGCGATGAAGGGATCTGTAGCACGAACCCGCATCAAATGGGGGTGAATGGACCAATTGGCACAGGCTACGGGATCCCTAAGTAAGTAAGAGATCTTCATGACGGGTTGCGCCTGACTTGCTGGTCATAATCTGCGTGAATTATAATATTTCTATATTTCACCAGCCTGAAATAAGGTGGTTGGAGGGATGTTCCCCACATAAACCAGTTGGGGTGAGGTCCAGTATGCTTGTTGCAGGCCAATCCTGACAAGCTGTCACAAAGTGTTCATGTTGCAACTCTGGAACCTTGTTTTGACAACGAATGTGATCGCTCTCTTTCCAGTACTGGCACACATGGTGTGCCAAAGGCTTGTCGGTCCTGTCGGTAAGTTGTGCTCTTGCGTGTTTTTGTACGGTCATCATCTCGCTACTGTTCCCAGTGCTTCCAAAAGGCCAAGTTACGAGGGCCGAGTTGAACATCCCAAGTTACTATGACGGTTGTCTTTTGATGTTCTAGTGCCGAGTAACTAGGCCTTCCCCCTGCCGCCCATATTGGCACAGCAGCACTTTTACTTGCTCCACACTCGATCCTTCGCGTTGCGGCGGGCGGCTGTTGCGCGGAAGCTCTTGGCCAGCTTCACTGCATGACTGCATGAGCCAGCCGCACTCGGCTCTTGAGCAGCGCATTGCGCTCAAGCGTGAAGTCACATGACTCACACTGCGGCAGACGGTCGCCAGCCATCGCATGCTATCCTCATCTTGATAGCAGTGGTGATACCTGGGCTTAAAACCACTTTCCGACACTTTCCTGCATTATGAGCAGCTGCTCCGCGAGAGTGTGAAACTTCGGCTTCAGCGACCAGCGAAGCTTGCCTTGCCTGCCCAGCTACAGAGCTTGGCCCCCCACTCAAAACCGGGCGCGTACCCTGGAGGAAGAGCTGCTGCTGCTCACCTGCCTCCTGAATCTGGGCACGCTGCTCACATGTCCTTGGCTGAGACACATGCACGGAGAAGTTGCGCCCACATAATTTTAAAGTTTGACGCCGACGTCGCAGTCAGGGCTCAAGTACCTCTTGCACCGCTCAAGCAGTCCAAAGCAGCGAGCCATCGCAGTCCTGATCAGAAGGCCCAAGGCTGCCAGCAGCTTGCCGCATGAGGCCCAAACTGCTGCCAAGGGTCGCGCAGGCTGCTACCACGGGCAACATGTGCTGGAGCGTCCTACAAACTAGACACACAGCACAAACAGCGGCATGGCTGGGACACCGCGCTCCTCGGCAGGGCGCAGCAAAGCGCGACGTGCTGGCTCAAGGCCAGCTGCCACCCGGCTTGCGTGCGCCACGTACTCGCACACGATGCGGCCGTTGAAGGCTTTGCAAGACATCAGCGCTTCTCCCCTGGCCCTGGGGTCCCCTGGTTTTGCAGACCTCGCAAGATTGCGTGGCTGCTACACATCATCGACTTACAACACAGCTGCGCTTAAATATGATCAAGGCACCATGGAGTACGTGAAGCGCCTTTGGCTGCAAACGATCTTCATGTCCTTGAGCCAGTGCTGGAAGTCAGCCTAGATGCAGCCACACGCCAACTTGCAAGTACTACTGGCCACACGCAGCAGTGATTCAATGAAAGTGGCATAGGCTTGGCCCAGAAGCAAATCTGCATGGCCACTGGGGTCGCCGAAGACGCCGCATTCGACCAAGTCCAACCTGCAAGTGCGCACACAGCTGCCACGCACATATGCGTATCAACATGCGCTGGATGAGCTGAGGGGCAGCGCCGAGGCATTCATGGTTTGCAGAATGCCCAGGTTACAGGTGTGCATCCAGCAAAGGCGAAGAGTGGACACATCGAAGCCCGGGAGCAGCAGCAAGGGGCGTAGGCAAGCGAGCAAACAAATACCTGGACCCTTCAAATTAACCTTTTTCTGACCATGAGGGATTCAGCGATTTCTGGGCCTAGAATCGCGCACGATCCGGCCAAGCCATCGCGCAACGTTGCGCGATGCGCCATGCACTGCTGCAATATAAAAGCTACAAGCTAGCGCTATATGTGAAAGCGAGGCTCACAACATGTCAGCGGACATGGTTTGCTCCACCCAGGTCTGCGTGTGCGTGAACCTGGTGGATTAGCGGCAGGCCCAATCTCATCGAAGGTGCATGAGTCGCCCACAGCCTGAGCTCCGCAAAAGAAGCATGAGCTGTGAGCAGACAACTTGTGCAACGCAAGGTCGCCGCGCAATTCGGTCACCATGAAGTTAGCGCCATCCATGGTGAGCGCCCCGCCGTCACTGTCCTGAGACAGCATCGCCACGCTCATTGACTTGACGATCTGCGCAAGAGCCGGGTAGATGGTTTGGCATCCGGCCAGGAAATTAGAGCGGATCGCGAAGATGCACCATCTGCTCATCCGAATCGAGCGCGGTCTGAACAAGGGCAGGTTCAGGAAAATGCCGAACACTTTGTCGGCATTGCTGAGGCCATACTGCGCCTCATCTGCATAGATCCCCACCGGGATTGTGTCATCTGTTGCCAGAGGCGGGCGGTTGAGCGCCCAATTCTGGCCATGCTGGCGCGCCCACTTCCAGTAAAACTGCACATGCCGGCGCGGTGTGCGCAGCTTGGCCACATCATGCACAAATCGCAACACCGAATGCGGCTCAAGGAGCGGGAACTTTCTCACCTCCATGCAGGGGCGACCATCGTCGTCCATGGCCCCAGTCAGGACCGGCAGTTCCACCTCCACCGGAGCCTTGCAAGGGCGGCTGGATGCGAGAACAAATATTTGAACCCAAGAAACCCCAAACCCTCGACCCTGAACCCCAAACCCTCAACCAGAAGCCCTCAACCTTGGTTTGGGGTTTTGGGATTTACGGTTCTGGGCTCAGGGCTTTAACGTTTCGGATTGAGGGTTCGATCAACTTGAACAGCACAACCCCCCCCTCGTCCTTCCCTCCCCCTTTTCAGCAGGCCGCAACGACTGCCCTGGATGCCACTACCGCGCGTCTTGCGCTTCGAGCAGGTTCACTAGCAGCTTCTTCAGGACGGGCAGCGTGATGGCGTTTCCCACAGCAGCCCCAATCTGGCGCTTCGATAAATGGCTGCTCCAGCCGACCTCTCTGGGCTCAAAGCCCTGCGCCCGGAGGAGCTCGTTCGTGCCGAGCTGCCGCCCAAGCTTCGTTATGAACGGAGGGCTCGTCGACGCGCGGCTGCTGGTCAAACATGGCAAGCAGCCAATCATGCTGTTAGGTCTCGGGGGCGATGCTGCCAGGTCCACTGCGTGCGCTAGCTGAAAAGGTTAATTGGGTATGTATGTACATGGCTAAGTGCAAGAAAGAATCCACTGGCATCTCGCAGCACTTGATGAAGTCCCTCGCGTGGTTCGTGATATAGTTCTTGCTCATCTTCATCAGGAAGCGCGATTTCGGGCTTGCCTAGGCTGCTCGGGAAGCAACTTGCATGGAACTTTATAATACACCCTCCCCCAATTCAATATTGAATTTGATAAGGGGCATCATGATCAGGCGGCCCCTGCGAAATCTGGCCCAAGCATGTGATCATGGCATGGATCGAGGAAAATCCGGATATATTAAAATCAATTGCCACGCGTGCCGCTATAGGCCTACTCAAAAAAACACATCACTTCAATCATGATCATGCAATCGTGTCACACATGACTATTTGATGGACGCATGTACGCATTTGCTTTGAGGGGACCCCAGTTTTCCTTGAACCGGCATCAGATCAACATGAATGCACAGGTACAACTTAACGCCAGGGGCAAATGAGGATGTACTGTTAGGGGACCCCCAATCTCCTGCCTCAAAAATTGGATATTCGATCAACCCTTCAAGCTCATGATGTTTTGACGTTGTTGCTGCCCAGCTGGGGATTTGGACCCGCATTTTGATTTCGATTCCCTAACCGTACGCGTGTCGGAACGCTCGATGCGGCGCGCTGCGGCGCGCTGCGGCGCGCTGCGGCTGCTGCGTGATCACGCTCAACAACGTTTAAAGGCGCGGAGCTAGGCCTCGGAGACCACCACACGCTCACCATTGCTGGTGCCTGCTGTGGCCTGAGCAATGTAGTCCGCCATGTGGAGCCTCAAGGTGTATATGCAAGATTGTGAATTTTCTATATGCCAACAATAAGCATCAGACACCACACAGGGAATCCCTGCAAGCTTCAGCAGCTCAGCCTCCCGGGCTGTGAGGGCCAACCCAGGCCATGTAGTACTCTGCATGGCTTCAGAGTGAGCTGAGGGATCGATCTGTTTTTGTTCTGTTTTTGTACATGTACGCTGTGATGATAGATCATGAGGCCTAGGGCTGTGGCCTGGTTTTCGGAGGTCGGGGGCGGTGAATAATATATATATATATAGCTCGAAGCCACACGAGGCTAAATCAACTCGCAACATGCCGCACCACCATGCCATCATGAGGGCCTGTCTACCTGCATCGCGCGCTGAGGCCACGGTCAGGGGCTTTTTCTCGCCGTGGCCATGGCCCCGATGTCAGCATTGAACAGGGCTGTCCCAACAACGAATGCAATTTCTCAATTTGCATCATGATATCGATAACTTGGGATCTTTTTTTGAAAGGACAACCCCTGAACCGCCATCCAGCGCACTAATAGCACCGAACGCACATGGGCGATCACACGTGACGACCCGCTAACCGCCGTCCGAATCCCGCTGCTGATCTTGAATTATCATCTAGAGCTCGAGGCTAGTGATCCCATGAAAATAACTGCCCAGGCCTAGGGGTACCGGTTTGAATTTGTGTACACCTCAGCATGCAGGTTTGAGACGGCGACGACCGTCCAGCCCGCCAGCTCTTTTGCTGCTGCCCATGCAACGCTCACTCCTGACTTCCATGAAATGGTCACGCCGTTCTTTGCATTCACCTGCATGCGACTGAAGCGAGATGGAAAGGGA